TTCAGTTTTTATGAAAATCTAGCCCGAATACATAACTTATGGAAACTCTAATTAAGTTTTTTGTATATTTGAAAGTGGAAAGTATTCTTTTAGTGAAAAATCATATCTTGTAAACTTGAAATTAGCTTGTAGGGGAGAGAGGAAAAAATCACTATTTGTCCCCCCTTCCCTTATATAAAAAATACTTAACTAAATTACTTTAATAAAAAGTACCTAAAAATGGAAATCGCATTAAGAAAATGTTTGTCGGACAATTAATCAAATATGTCTCATGCTTTAGTTTGTACTTTTTTTACGAATCTATTTACTAACAATAAGCTCTTCATGGAAATGCTTGAAAGATATTCATGTGGCTTGGCTCTCGCATCACAACAAAAATGGCAAGTGAGTGTTTTCCTTGGCGTATTATGTCGGTGACCTTCTTCAAAAAGTACCTTGATCTACAGGCGGGTACGACGGGTGGCCATGACGGTCAAATCGAATACGTCCAAGGACCATGGCCAGCAATGCCATACGCACGTAGACCCCGTTTTCTGCCTGCCGGAAGTAAGCCGCTCGCGGATCGGTATCGAATTCCTTGCTTATCTCAAAGACACGCGGTAGAGGGTGCATTACCGCCATTTTTCTTTTCGCGCGAGACATCAACTGCGGGGTTACTATGAAGAGTCCGCACATCTGTCGTACATATAATGATTTTTCCTTTTTAATATAATATGTTACGTAGAATTAATTTAAAACCAGATATTGAATAAGTAAAAAGCATGATTCGAAGTAAAATGATATACATCTAGCTTCATGAGCATCAATAATTAATCTCAATAATTTTAATAATCTTAAATAATTTTGGATGATTAATGTTAATAATTTTTAACAAAAATGCCATACATTAATTATTAAAAACGTAGTTTATATTGGGTTTCACACTGAAAAGACAAATATACGTAACAGAACGCACTTGCTCTTTTTATAGATTCAATGCTTATTGAGTAAAAACTAAAAGACCCACCTTATTATACTGCTCTTGCGTGGCGAAACGCTCGCTTTGTATTCGCGTCATATAAAGCACGTCGGTATCGGGCAATGCCTCTTCCAAAGTCGAGAACTTATCTTGCGGGATACCACGTTCGGCCACGTAATTAATGACATGATTCGGCATGTCCAGGCCAGGTGGATTAACGTAGCGAAGTTCTACGTTGTACAGGGTCAGTAGCCTGCATTATAATTCAATAAATGTATTACGGAAAAGAATGACTTTGCCTTGACTTCAATAAGAAAAGAAAGAAAGGAATGACTTCGCCTTGACTTCAATAAAACTGTCGTATATTTCAATTGCTCGCAACCGAAATTAATTTTAAAGTGTTTACGAATTATATGAATTAACCTTGTCTCATCATTTAAAATTAAATTCGATTTTTATTGTCAGTTAGAAATATCATAACATACTTGAAAATTTATAATTTATTTTTAATTTGAAACTTATTTCCTTTCAATAAAAACATCTAAAAACGCTAAGTTTTTCAAAATATGTCTTTGCACAAATTATAATTTTCATATATTGCGTATTTTTGTTAAAATAGAATATTTTGCATATATCTTTAAGATTATCAATTGCACTTTCCATAATGTATCGTGGACTGTATCTAAATTTAGAAACACTGTGTACATGTGTACATTCGTCAGTTATATTATTTAAAATTTATTATTTCAAAAATTGCAGCCTTAACAGCTATTGAAAAATTTGTTCAGCCATTTTTTTCGTAGAATATTTTATAAGCGATATTTCCGTATTTTCTTTTTTATTAATTGTCTTAAACGAGCGAAATTTCTTTGTCGTACTAACCTTGCAAGGGAATGGACGGTTCTGCCGTGCTTTAAATCTCCGACCATGGTGATCGTAAGACCATTCACGGTTCCGAATTCGTCTCTGATTGTGAAAATGTCGAGCAACGCTTGTGTCGGATGTTCGCCGGTTCCATCACCGGCATTCAATACTGGTTTCCTACAATGCTGCGCTACCCTCTGTAAATTTTTATTAGCGCATAAGATTAGGAAAGATATGGACATATAAAAGATTTTTTCGTATTTTTTTAATTTTTACTTGAAGAATCTCATAAAGAGCAAGAAGTCAACATTATCACACTATTTGCTTTGATAAAGAAGACAAAGTAAGATAAGTTTCTAAAAATAAAATTAAAAATTGTAAAAATAAAAAAGAGCATTATCATCACTGTTACATAAATTAAATAAATTATCTTTTTATATATAACTTCTTTTACTTACAGCAGCCGCACCCGGCGCTGAATGTCTGAGTACCACCACATCTGCATATCCTGCCATAACTGTTACCGAATCTAAAAATAATAATTCAATAACTTATTGGATATCCGACGGAAGATTACAAAATAATCAAGCATTTTTTTTAGAGATTTATTCGAATAAAAGTTCTTTTCAGTATTTCAGGAGTACTTTTCACTCCAATATATTTTTGAACAATCGTACTTTTTTTATGCGAAGAAAATCTCTACAAACCTTCTAAGGTTTCGCCCTTTTTCACCGATGACGTAGAACCATCCATGTATATTACGCGACCACCGAGACGTTCCATTGCGGCAGCGAAGCTGCACGATGTTCTCGTGCTAACTTCGTAGAAGATGGAAGCCATGATCTTCCCCTTAATCATACATTACACTTAATATTTTTAACTAAGAAAACTAAGCGGTAGTTTTGTGTGTTATTTAAAAATTCGTGACCAACATAAAACTCTTGAATTTTATAACGCTTCTATATATTTTTAAATCGTTCGCAAAAGAAGCTCTATATAATCTTTAATTAGTTACCTTTAAAACATGATCTAAGGGTCGTTCCTTCCTGATTTCATGTCGGAAAGTTTCCGCTAAGTGGAATATATTCTTTAGTATGTCTTTGTTAAAGATATCCACGGTAAGCACGTGATGTCCGACTAGACTGTTGCCTGTATGGACAGTTGGAATCGATGCGACGGCAGTCATAAGTAGATTCGGATTACTGTCACTTTTGTATCTAGTGACATTGCTGATAGGCAACGGTGAGACAGTTCTTTGAGAGAGCAGTGCCTTGGAATGTTCCTTGTCGGCGTCTGTGTACGGCGCGAAGTGGACGCTCGACTTGTGCGATGCCGGTTGCAAGAGATGCGTGAACTCTGACGGAATAGAACATAAATTAATTTTTTTTAAATATCTTATTTATACGCGATAGAAAGTTACGAATTATTTTATTTTTGCAATAGCAAGATACGCAATGTGAAAAGTGACATTCGTGAGGCATTCAATTCGTGAATTATTCGCAAATATAATATATCTGTCAATCTTGACCTTGTCTCTCCAAATATCTTAACTTAATCTTGATTTTATCGCAATTGAACAGGATTGCACTTCAGTAATAAAATTATTTTAAAGGAGAGAAAAAGATCTCGCGTGTTATTTAGCAGTGCAGAATAATTATTTAATTTGTATTTGCATTAGCGTACCAATTTGATCGTCTTCGTGCACTTCGATGTGTATATTAGATTTTTCGTAGTTCGGCGACAGGAGACTGTCTAGTGACAATGATTTATTGACGATATCTGCGAGCTGATTGGACGCTGTCGACGCGTGGAGCGTTGCTTGAGCCTTCGCATTATATTGTATATCCCTGATGTCTTGACCGAATCCAGGATTTACTAGTACTTGTCCCTCGATGAAAGCAATCTCGCCTCTTAGGACCACTCTGTGCACGGAACCGCGAATCGTCATGCCAGTGAAAGGTGTCCATTTCGATTTGCTGTACGGCATCGCTTCCGGGATGATCCATTCGTCGTCCAAATCGACCTCGATGTATGTGTTACGCTGATCGGGAATATTGAAGATTTTTTTGGGGTTCCGATACAATCTGTCTATAATGTCCTGTAATCAATAAGCAATTAATGTATTTAGATTTTTATTTTGTTAATATAATAATATATCCGATAATATACAATGTATACCTATATATAACTTTGTTAATAAATTTTAAATACATATATTTTTATTATAAAATAATTAATAGCGTCCTTTCAAAGTAGGAACGGTATTGCTTTAATAAGATTTACTTTGCAATTGAAACTATCTAGTATTTTTAAAAATAATCGAGTAAGCACACTTTCTTCATTTTTACTACCACGAGTGGATCCTCACGCGATACTCGAAGACTTATCTCGAAGATTTATTATCAGACAATAGCGCTCATCTGTATGGAAGTGATAAGTATACATGAATTCGCGTTTAAGAAAAACTTTGGAAATTCCAGAATTTCCTTTCAAGAGTGAAATATTTCTCAATAATTAAAAATTACTTCAGTCATCGATTTATTGCAAAAAAGAACACATGCGTTATGGACGATATCCGTACCAAAACTTATGAAAAATAGTATATAGAATATAATTTATATCGTTTTCGCAAAATTTAAATGAGGGACTTCTTCTCAATAAGCTTCTTTCAGATGTTCTGCTTTACATCACGTTAAGCACAAACGTGAGGATCGGCATGACGTGTATGACATTCGCATTCTCGAGAGTAATTTTCGCGTTATCGAGCAAGGTACTTATCGGCATTCCATGCTCATTACGTCAGCCAAACGTCGTCGAAATTTATGTAAGCTAATTCAATAGAAAGTACCTCCATAGTCAGCCTTCCTTCATGCACGGCGTTCAGTAACAACGGTAACATAGTTTCCAAGCCGGGAAATCCTGGCGGCGGTTTCTCGGAAGACTTCTCTTGCACGGTGTGTGGGGCTTTACAATGCACACAAATTGATGTCTTATTAAAAAAAAACGTGCGAATTATACCTAAGATAAGCGTATGATTGTGCGATTTCTCGCGTTCAAACTTAATATCCTTTAATATTCATAAATAAAAATAAGTAGTGATCTTTTGCGAATTATCAAAACATTTGTTTTTATCAGAACACTAATTGCTTATTATTTCTAAACAACTACAAATTGTCTGATATAATATCACGCCTTGGGACAAAAAGAATACTCTTGTATGACTTAAAAGCCAAACAAAGTAGCTGTTATATAAACATGGGACGCCCATCCTTTTATCTCCGAATCATAGAATAACGCTGGACGTTATCGTTTCGAGATATTGAAGTGAACTTATTCCGTACGTACGTGATTACAGTGCGAATTTTTGTAAAAACTATAGTATGTAATTAAGACACAATGGGCCATGTCTGAGTGTCGTCGACGGCACTTTGGACGAAGACCGTCTCCCAGGTTTATTAGTATTATTATAATTTAATTACATTTACAATTAAAGTCCCTGAAATAGCGATAAGCTTGCTGACGTACCGTGATCGGTCGCGAAACAATCGATAACGTCCATATTATCCCAGAGCGCCTGTTGGTCCTCCCTTGTTCCCAGAGAAGGCCTTACTTGACCTCTTCCGGTGCCTATTCGCTCCAAATCATCCTGACAAAGGAATAAGTGGTGCGGACACACCTCGCACGTAACCGCCAATCCCTGTAAGAATACATAAACACATACAATCGATATTTTTAGATATCTTTAATTTATAATGTAAACCTCTAGGCAGAACTGCACAAAAGAGAAAGTCATAATGATATTATTATGAAGTCAAACAATATCATAAGGACGTCATCATATGATTTTATTTGTCACTTATACGTGACATCATTATGATATCATTTAACTTTTATGTTCTACCTGGATCAAGCCAAACAATAGATAACATCAAAATGGCATTAAAATAAACCGTGACTGATCAAAAAACTGACTTAATAACCATTTTGACGTCATTTTGATGCCGTCATGACTTTTTGTCCTGCCTAGGTAAGAGCACTTTTTAAACTTTGTCTCGCCTCAATTATCATGAATTCCGAATTTATTTAAATTGACTTTTAATTTCTTTTTGGTCTTCTATTATTAATCTTCCTGTCTTCCACATAAATATTCTGCATACGATTAATTCAGTTTCCTGACCAACTCTTTTTTTATTGATTATATATATTGTTAGGAATGTTAGGATACTTACATGTTCTTTGGCAGCTCGAATGATTTGTATTTCTTCTTTACGTGCTACGTGACACACATGAATCGGCCTGCTGTGCAAACTCGCCAGCAGGAGCACCGCAGCTGTGGTTTGTCCTTCCGCGTGTACGCACAAAGGATATTTCTTCGGCCAGCTTTCGAAGTGCTGCAAAAGGGAAACGGGGTCATATATATTACATAACTTAAAATATAAATATTACGTTAATTATTTTCTATGATTCTTTTTTTGATTAAAATATTATTACTTCACAGAACAATTTTCTTACAACGAACACATGAACTTGGTACCTTTTTTTACCTTTTTTTTTTATTGAAAATCTTAATTTTTAATAGATTGTATATAGACGCACATTAATTCATAAATTCACAAATAAACTAGGTTAGCAAAAGAGCTGTAATTTATAATCTGTTCGATATTTTTCATAAGCGTGCAAATCATTTACCTTAATCCAAACAGTAAGATCAGTGAGACGAAGCGTTGTAAATGTCTCGTTCAGGTACATCTTCAGAGCGGCTACGTGCGGTGCTATTTCCCGTATATCATTGTAATTGTCCGATGAGGCACCGGCGAAGAGTGCATAGTCGCATCGTGAGCCAGCTGCAGCTTGCTATTCAAATAGACAGCAAACGATACTTCGTTATTTTATTACAATAAATTATTTAAGATTACCCTTAAACACGGTTAAAAAATTTAGTTAAATCTTATTGATAATAGATAAAACATAAATGAAGATTGCGCGAAATAAATAGTTAACTTTAAAATATCTATATAAGAAATCACGATGTACGCTGATAAGTAAATATATATACGCGTATGTGTGCGTATATGTACATGTGTGTGTGTGCGCGTGTGTGCTTTTTAAACACAAAAAGAATTTGGAACTGATGATAAAACAAAATATCATTTTTTCAGCTATTATTATATCATACGATATCACGATATTAAAGCCTGGTTCGCTGATTGCAACAATCGATCTTCGTAATTGTGCGATAGCTTAATTTCTATTTATTACTTATTCGAAGATTAATTAAGATGTTACAGAAGCATTTTTTAATTAATTTATATACACATATATCACTGTTGTCTCGCCTATAGTATATTATAAGCGAATAATGGCTGCAAATATTTAATTTAATGAATGATTTATTAAACTGAATTGTGTGTGCTTGCAATAAATAAAAAAAGTCAAAAAATATTCAAACATATGAAAGCAACAGTTGGTTTAATTGAGATATAGATATCGAATGTCTGCGATTAATCGAAAAATTTATCTAGTATATATGATCATGAATCATGATGTAACGAAAAAATATACTTGATGATATGTAACCATTTTTTTCGACTACTGAAGAAGACTCCGTGAAGTCGAAACATTTAGTCGTATAATTTGTATTCATACATGTAATAAATTACTCTTAAACCCCTAACAAATTGCTGGTTGTTGGCCTCTTTATTTGTGTATAAATGTAGCAAATTAATTTTCAATTCAAATTTAGTTTGATTACATTTTTGTTAACAATGAGTGAATGAAAAATGCATGAAAAATCAGCTGTTAATCGTTTCAGATTTCTATACATATAAGAATCTCTTCTTACCGCTTTGGCGATCGCAAATGTTTTGTGATCCACTACCGCGGGATTGGTATTGGGCATCGCAAAAATTGTTGTTATGCCGCCAGCGAGCGCTGCCGCGGTGCAAGAGGCAAAGTCCTCCTTGTGGACCGCTCCAGGATCGCGGGTATGTACGTGCACATCGATAAGACCGGGTAATCTGATCATTTTGCGCGATGACATGCAATCGGTGTGCGTTTTCATACGCGGGGCTTTCCCGCCAACCATTCTTAACGCCTACACACAGAGAAAAAGTATATCAATTGTTAGATTGTTATTATTATTTATTTTATTCATTTATTGTGTCATTTGTAACTACATATATAATCTTATAATTGATACAAAGTTGCGCGTGTATAATATAATCGTGATGCATTTAAATGATTAAGACGATTGTCTGTTTTGATGAAAGATTATTTATAATAATAAATTAACAATTTTAAAAAGTAATAAAAAAGATCACAAGCTAAAATATAGTTAAGAAGAAGTGTTCATCATTTATATAAGTTTAAATAATTACGGAACGTTTTGACTATACTAGTGATTTGAATGTTTATATATGTTCGTTTGTTAAAACTTAAAAAGCTTTTTCGTATGTAAAGTTATATATAAATAATAATACATAATAAATGAAAGCAATCTTTATTTGTGAGAGAACAGGAAATGAAATTGTTGAAATAACTTACTTTAATTGATAAATTCATGAAGTAAAATGAGTAATAAAGGAAATTTTTTCCGACAGATTTGATAAAGCTTTCTGTGGTTAGTTTAACAACAGGCAAATGGTCGTAAATGTAAAAAGTCGCTTAAATGTTTTTTGTTGGATCAATATCAAAAAGTGTCAAGTTTAAAAGTTATTGTTAGAATGCGCATCTAGTAAACAATAATAAGAATCGTTGAGAAACTCAGTGTTTTTTTTTTGGAAAATTCCTTATTTTGTTATTAATTTCTTAATTTATTCTTTTACATGTAACACTCAGAGACCAACCTATTATTAAACCTTCTCTAATATTTTAACATTTTCCCAATTAAAAAATTAAAAATTGTAATGCCTGCTTTTTATATTAGGTTTAATTATTACATCTCACTACTTTTTTTATAAGTATAATTAATAGTTTAAAAGAAACTGAATAATATTTTAATAAAAGGAACTGTATATTAGAGTATTTTCTGATATCTTATCAATGAAGTAATTTGGTATATTAAATATTAATGTTATCTATTTCGACGCATGGTATCGACAACTAGATATACGTTTAATCATAAAAAAATGTAACTCAACAAAACTTACTAACATTTTTTAAACAATTATTTTAAATAATTTTCTCTATAATTTTTAATAAAAAATTTTGTTTATTTAAATAAACTTATATCGCAATTTTAATTAAATATAAATATTATTTCTATATAATTGATGTGATAATACATGATATTTTTGCTAAAAATCTCGATAATTTTTTAACAACATTAACATAGAAGGATTAGCATTTCGAATATATATAGGTTGTAAAATGAACTTTGCCCTTTAATTAGAAAATATTTTTTTTGTCACGTAAATTCTAAAATAGTATATTTTAAGAAAATTAAGATTCTGTTATAAAATATATTGTTTTAAAATATATAGGTTCTGAAGTGAGCTTTGCACCTAAAATGCCTTATCAACAATATGACAAAATGTTACGAATAAGAGTGAGTAATAATCTTGTTTATCAGAAACGATCTTTGATCACTGACGTGGAGAGATATAAAAATGTAGTTTTAAAAGAGAAAGTAACGTCACGTAAGCTTATTTTAATTATATTCATATAATGAAATTATTTCTTGAAGTAAAATTTATTTTGTAATACGTCTATCACACGTTGTTCTTATTTAAATCGTTTTGCAAATTTTCGAAAATCTGAATATACTCACTTCAACCAAAAGCTTCGCGCATTTAACATCCGTGATCAAAGGCACGGAATAATCGACCGCTAGTCTTCTCGTCCGGTAACCATGCGTCATGAAGTTGGAAACACGCCGAGCCCCGCCGTTTCTCATCGGCAGATTGATCACAAGGTCGAATTGCTTTTTCGATAAGAAGTCAGCAAGGTGCCGAAGTTGGCTCGGGCTGGAATCCTCGTTCACGGCGATGTTCTCGAATGTCCATTGCACCGGTTCCACCTACATTGTAAAATTTGTTGCGAGACATAATAGTAAAGTTACAACAATTATATACAATTATGAGTTCAAAATCTGTAGTAAAAGCAAGAGATGATATCTGATAAAAAAGTGCATTAATTTAAGTACAATTTTACACAAAATGTAAATAAAAATAGCAAATAGTATATATTAATACGTATACGTGTATATCAGTAAAAAATAAAAATAAAAATATTGAAGAAATTTTTTTGGGGAAATCAAGATTAATATTTATTATAGACTATGTCTTCTATCAATTGTATTTTTAATAAATATTATCTAACTTGCTTATGTAATGTTCGTATTATAGCGGCTTTTTCATATTTTAATACTAAACTTTAAGATATTTAATTCTACGTGCATTGTCTTTTCTGTTGCACTTTGTTCATTGAAGAGAATGTATATTATATGTAAGTATATTACGCACAAATAAATCTTAAAATGTTTACTAGATATAACATTCCAAAGATGGATGTTATCGTTTTGATAATCACCACTTACTACTAGTCTTGTTTGCATATTTAGCTGTTAAATGTTACGCGATTTGATGCCTCAGCGGTGCCTAAATGCGGTCTACTTTAATGTAACAGAACAAAAAATAGTAAATATGCAAAAAAATTTAATATTTAATCCTAGGTTATTGTGCAAATTTTTCATTAGTTTTTTGTTTATAACATATATAAATATTTTTAAAAACTTGTTTAAAAAATGTAAATGTCTATTTTATACACAACACTTCCCGAAGAAACTGCATGTATTAAATTTCCAGTATATGTATTTTTAAAATTCAAAATCATAGAATATTATTTAAAATGCCTTTGTCATGACTTTTGGAACTAATTAACAATTTGAGATTATGCAGATACATATATTTGGATATCTCGTGCGGAAATTTAAAAAATTTCAGATGCTATTTAATTTCCGCACCACTGTGGGCCGCGATTGTCAAGTAGATATTGATCGGTGGAGATTACTGGCATTGGTTTATCGAAATATTTTGAACAAGGCCTTGAACGAGTTACGATTGATATCTTTTCTCATTTTTTCAAAGAGTAAATTTGCTGATCGTTTTTAGGACAATCGAAGATATACGTCGAAAGACAATAACGATTCTTAACCGTGCATCGCAATGCTCCGAAATCAATTTGCAATTTTCCGAATTGCCTCGATAAAGGCTTTACGCACAGATTAGATAAACGACAGCAATTTTTATTCGCAATATTGGCGTATGTGACGTCAGTAGACGAATTAAACGTTATAATCGTGGTCCTGCACGAAGCGCGATACCACGAAATTCGATTGCGTTTCAAGAGAAGACCGCAGATAAATAGATGCGGGTCTATGTACGATAACTCGCGAGGATTATTTAGATTAATAACTTTATTATAATGACATTAATAAAGAGCTTTCCTATATCGAACGGAGGCAGCTATATTGCGACAATATTTTCTGCAATCTCTTGCACGTATATTAGGTAGAATAATAGAAAAAATGATTACATATGGTTAGAGAGAACATGAAATAATCAAAGATTGCATCAAATAATCAAAGATTACATCAGATAATCCACGATGTTACCGTAACTTAATCATTATATCAATAACTTCCTTTTTTTGTAATAATTGTCACTTGCTACTTGTACAAGACTAACACATATTTTTAGTCTTTTCATTAATGTTTTGCATCGTATATAGTTATCCTTGTCATAAAAGTTATCTATTTATGGTAAACGTACACTATTATTAATAGGTTAGTAGGCATTATTGAGAAAATAAAACACGGCATTACTGATAAAATTTATTTGTTTGGTCAAGGCTTAATAGACACGATGATCAGATCTAGGAAATAACTAAAGAAGAAAAGAAAACATTGAAAGAATGAAAGAAATAATTGAAAGTTGCTACATATATTGTACTTTTACGGCTGATACACCTATTTGTATCAATAATTATATACAAGATGTGATAAAAAATACGGTGAATGTTGAAATAAAAGGAACTTATTACATTAAAAGACAAATTACATTAATTAACAATTAAATTAGTTCTCTTAAAATACTCTCCTTCGCTTCTAATACACTTATCCCATTGTTCATATCACGTGCTAAAAAACTGGAAATCCTATTTCATAAGTGCCTTTAGTTGCGTTGTAGCTGCCTCAATGTCTTGAATTCAAACTGATTAGATTAATATTCAGGGTAAACTCAGGTATTATAAAAGCTTATTAGAGCGTTTAAGAAACAAAGAATGTACGTAGAAAAAGATCTGAGAAATGGGCAAATGGTTTCATCCTCCATCATGATAACGCTCCGTGTCACACATCGCTTTTGATACGGCAATTATTTCTGTTAAATAAAAACGTTACGGTCCTCATCCGTATTCGGATTTGGCATCTTGCGACTTCTGACTTTTTCCCAAAATTAAAATGACCATGAATGGTAAACCTTTTGAATTAATTCCAGACATCGAGGCAGCTACGACAGCGCAACTAAAGACACTTATGAAAGAGGACTTCCCGTAGCAAGAATGAAGGGATAAGTGTATTAGAGACGAGGGAGAGTATTTTAAAGAGGACTAGTTGTAATTTGTCTTTTAATGTAAATTTCTTTTTATTTCAACATTCACCGTAATTCTTTGATCTCGTATGATCCACCCCACGATAAGTGAAGTGTACGAAACTGCTGGACACTGGCGATTGGCAAATTCGGAGTGGAATACCGGAAAGCTTTATCTGATCCGACGCCAGCGCGATCTTTCACACATATTCGGGCTTGTTTGTCCAATGCCCAATAGTATGTGGCCGATTAAAAGCGCCCGTGCTCGATAACGTGATAGCTATTTATCGACCCCGACACCCGCGAGAGGACTACTGCCTCACCGGTCATCTACGTGTCCTCACGCGCGCACGCACAATGCTGTGTCCCAGTTTCCGCTGACCTTGAAACTAGAATGAAGGAGTGCACCGGTGATCTATAGTGAGCGGAGTAGTTTACAGTGCACCGTGACCTGTGATCCTGAGGACGCGTGGGGACACTCTCCACGTGGGGACACTCCACGTGGCCGTCTCTCTCTATCTCTCTCTCTTTCGCTCTCTGTCTCTCTCGTGTGTGTACATTTTGTTATGTCATTAAACGAAAAGGGACAATGGGAATCGTGAACTCGATAAAAAAGAGTAATACCCAACCGGGAAAGAAGAATAACCACAGATCCAAGTCAAGAAATGCAGTCAACAAACAGGTGGACGAGTATGAGGACATGGAATTGGCGCAGTTGAAGATGGCCATCGCGAACGATCCCAACAGTTTCATCCTAAACAATCTCATGATGTGTATCCAGTTCTTCGAGAATTACGAGGAGTAAGCAAACTCCCGTTCCAATGCTTTTTTGCACGGTGATTCGTTGCAGTTGCGAAATAATAATAGTTGCTGTCGAGAGTGTAAAGGGAATTTGTAAAGTGGGATATAATATTCAGCTGCTATTAGTATATTAACAAATGATCTCGATAATAAAGCTTATTCGAAATGGTGAAGCTTACAATTAGTGTCATTAAATAAATATTTGCATATCTAAATCATTATGCAATTACCAAATTAGAAAAAGTGTAACAGTGAAACTAGTGTCGATTCATTTATAGAGGATGATAATAGAGGACATTTTATTTGTAATATGTGTATTTGTGTATTATTTGTGTATCATCCGTACATTGCTAACAATTTATTGGAATTCGGGAATTATTTCGCTGATTACGTACTGTTTTAAGAAGTATCAATATCATTTATTTTTATTTAATCTAATCTGCAAATCCTCACTACATATGAAAAATATTCTTCAACGTTTATCAGTGGTTCGAGGACGTGTAGCATATAAATTCTTCACATTGTTTATACTTTTCAAGTTGCAACATAATAAATCCCCTTGACACGATAATGGCACTTCCAAGACAAAGAATTATTTTTTATTTGCAATAAAGATCTACAGATTACAGCATTACTTATATTAGTCATTATAATAAAAAAAATTATTTTAAAAAATTTGTTAAATATATATTCAATATTTTTAAGATAATTAAAGTTCATTATAATACATTAAATTTTATATTTTTATTATTTTTCTCGTATTATTATGTTAATAATTATTTTTAAAAGATCTCTTAAATATTTATTTTTACTTTTACACATTTGTTTTTATTAATTGTAATAATGCGAATATAATTCGAAGAAAAGTTCAGTAAAGCGCATATATACCGTATAAATATAATTAGATGTTCTGATGATGATTACGTAAAACTAACTGTCGGAAAACTATTTTTACAGAGACATAATTCAAATTAACGAGACTTTGACATCAACTTACGAAAGTGAATTAAATAAGGTGCTACCATCTCAAAAGCACGTTCTATTGCCGGACATTCTTCAAGAGCATATCTCGCATAACATTGCCTTCACTTCGAAGAGACAGACCGGTGATCTCATTATCGAACCGCTGCAGCCCGTCCGCATTTATGTTGTGCATGACAATATCGAAATTACAGAGCAACATTATCAATCAGAGTATAGTAGTCTAAACAATGGGATTACGTATAACATGATGGTGCAACCAAGTGAACATCCCGGTGAGTAAACTCCTCTTCAACTCATAAAGTATCTCAAGCTGTTCTTGCTTCTTTTCACAATGTGTTCTCGGCTCGATTTGAAGTAAATTTGTTTTTAACAAGAATCAATAATTTTTGAATTGTAGAAAAATTCTGTTTAGAATTTTAAGACTTTTCGCGAAATAAGTTTTAAATACAAAATATGTAATATAAAACTTTATTCCATAATTTAATTTGAAAAAGAATTCAAAATTTAAAAATTATTTCTGTATAAATATATTAATTTTCTATAACAATTTATTTTTCAAATTTTTATATAAACTATAATATTCAAAATTTAATAAAATTGGATAAGAGTTAAAACTGAATTTTAATTTACTAAAAAAAGAGATTGTGTTAATGATATTTTTATAAGAAAAATCTTAAATAAATTCAGCAGCATTCAGCTAAAATCACGAATATTCTGTCGATAGGATACGTGTGGTTGCGACGTCTCGATGAAATGCCGTATGTAAGGAACTCTTGCAAAGAAGAGGATATCGATCCTTCTTCTATAGCGGATGACGACGAGATATACGACGGCGACGGCGAGAGCATTTATGGTCGTAATTCGAACATGATGCTTTCGCGTCACATTAGAAAGAGAGATATTCAGACCTCTACAATTTTCAACGTTAGATCTCTGCCTAATTTACATGACGACGAGACGATATACGAAGACCAAATATCCCTTTCCCGCAAAAATATTTACGGAACCCGATCCAATCATGACATCAAGATCGAGTCTGACTGCGAGCACATGTCATCGACGGAGGACCGGAGGAGTCAAGGCAAGAGAGTGCGGTCGAGGAACGAATTGGAGGCCAGGAAAGGGAGTTACCAACGTTATTATCCTCGATCCGTCATGGCGAAACAGAAAGTCCACACGCCAGCAAGCAGCTCGAGTTCCGGCTACCGATCCGGAGCTTGCGACAGCGACAGCGACTGGAGTTACCAAACTCTGCCAAAATCCAACGTTCAAGCAACTTGTAACGTGAATCACAACGAGAACACCGTGAATGCGTCGACGAAGATCTATTCGAACGCGATGATTCCGACGCAGTGTTTCAAGAAGGTGAGGATCAACAATGATGGCAAGATCTACATGTTGCGACGGGAGAGGAAGCCGCAGAACAGCAAGCAGCTTCGCCTTATGATGGTCGACAGACAGTATGACTGCGACGTTCTTTATACCAGCAGTAAGGTATTCATGAGCTACTTCGTCGACCTCTTCGTGGACCAGTTGGCGAAGCCGCTCGGTTTCCAACCGGAAGATCTGAATCACGTGGAGGAGTCGGTTATCTACTGCGACAAGGTGATCGATTCGTCCTACAATTCTCGACTGCACAGGATCGAGTCCTACGAGATCTCGCCAACGATATGGCTGCAGTGGCCGGAATACGCCCAGGAATGGCTGGACAGGCCGAGGAGCACCTGGCCTGACGACAACGATATCAACAAAGTGAAGGATTTTGGCTGCTACGTGGTGCCCGAAGACTCTCTGCTGAGGAAGAGGGGTCTCCAGTCGAAGGAATTGTCTTGGCATCAAAACCCCAGGAATAGAGTTCACCGGGAGATCGAGTGGCGACTGGCGTTCCCAGCCGCGGAGCGATATCTGGAGACCTGCATGACGCGCTCGCAAGTGCATGTGTACCTGATCGCGCTGATGATCCACAAGACCTTCTTAAGACCGATCCTGGACACGACGACTGGCTTAACAACCTCTCACATTAGAAATAAGCTGTTCTGGTTGATCGAAGAAAACGACCGACCCTCCAAGTGGCCCGACAATCGGACCGGCGAGTGCCTGATCAAGCTGCTGGACAGCCTCTATCGGTGCCTCAGTCAAACCGAACCGAATCTACCGGACTATTTCCTACGCGACAAAAACGTGTTTAGTAAAGTACCCGCCGACTATCTATTGCACAGCCAGAAGCAACTGAAGAGGATAATCGAGAATCCCGTCATGTACGTGTTCCACGCGATGGAGAACATCAAGTATAGCAACAAGTTTTTTCCGCGATTGAACTTCACGAAGCTGTTCAACATACTGACGGTGAGGCCGTGGCTGGCCATGAATCCGGCGCTGGAGGACAGGTATCTGTCGTCGACGAGGCTCGACGAGTTCTACAGAGACGAGATCTACAACAAATCCGGTGGATTCTGGAATAAGGCGCGAAAGAAGAATTCGCAAAACTACAGCACGTCAACGGCCACAAGTAGAACGCTGATCACCCCGCGCAAGGCCACGGATTCTATCGTCGAGATTTCGGTGAGTTCCTCAAGCGATAAGATTCGAACGGCCTTCGTAATGAGCAATCCAGCGCGATACAGTTACTATCGTAACTGATTGTGCCAGAAACGCGAAAGGCGCGAAGTCAATTCATGATCGATGCTTTATGACTTTCCCCGAATCTAATCTTATCTCGCGTTTCCTCGCGATTAGCGGATCAAGAGTCATGGCTAACTCATATTTCCATCTCGTTTCTTCTTGCTTTTTTTTAGGAACGGTGCGCCGAACTGGGAGATCTAAGGCTGGCCGCTCTGTTGGACTTCTTCGTCACGCACTTTATTAAAATGGCCGAGTGCTGTCACAAGTATCGGGCTTATCAGCAGAAAGACGTTTATCTCAATCAAGCGGATCGATTGTCGATCATTCTATCGGAGATGATCAGGTACAAGGACGACGCTATAGCCTATCGCAAGAAGATCCACACTCTGAGGATGAAACCGACGATGAACTTGGCGACGAGATCGCAAAACGAGCCGCCGGAGACGCCCAAGAGGAATATAGTAGAGCCCATATTCAGCGGCACCATGAAAGATCGTTTTACGCGACAATTCGCTGAGGTCGTAAAACTGCCAAAGGACGAGCAACCGCAATCTAGTCATGAAGATCGCACGAATACCGTCGCGAAAACAATTACCCCCGAGATAGGATTAGCGAGTGAGGGAAACGCGCGAGTGGACACCGCAAGCGCGATTACGAGCGAGGACGAGGGTCCTTACACTTCGAGAAAGCCTATATCGAGGGATCAGGGTGATGACTCGGCCTCGAGTGCAATAGAGAAAGTGATTTCTCTAGCGGACAATCTAAACGACGCGACGTATATATGATACGTGCATTTAGGAATAATGGACGTGGAGATGATCTGTCGAGAAAAACGAAGCAAAGTGGAAACAAATCTTCGCATTCAACGATTACGCTCGAAGCAAATCAGAATGGTATTTATTGTTACACTTCAAGAGTGGTCGATAATTAATTTAGTAAGTAATCGAGGAAGACTGAGCGTGCTTATCGCATGCTTGCGAATTGTCGATATTCGATCATCGCGTTATGCAAGAGCGAACATACACACACGTATAGCGTGATTATAATTTAATAGCTAAAATAATTTATGAAAATAGTTAAGCGCGCTGCAGTCAGGTTTTGTAACCGATGTCATCGTAACACACATACGATAGTGTCTTAGCCTAATAAATCGCGTTGCCAGATTACGTATTGCAGAAGATAATCTTTTATTAGAAATTTATTAAGAAATATTTTTAATTTAAAGAAGTCGATTAATTTTTTTTATCTCATGACACACATACATTTGTCTTTTTGAACATCTCGTGTCCTTCGCCGACGAAATTTACGAATCTAACGCGCGATTTCATAACTCCCACTATCTTTCATTATTTCGTTATCGTTAATCTCATTATCTTCGTATCTATTATACGTTTATTAACTCCCTTATTTTATCACGATTAAATGCGATATCTCTTCGGTGAAATATTCATGCTACAAAATTATGTGTTATACTTCATCATGTTACAAATTCAAATTGTAAAAATCCAACAAATTTAACCGACGTATGTTTCTCATAAATACTTCCTTCTTTTAATCATTCTTGTAAATATTATGTGTAAATAATTCTTTCCATATACGTGATCATGCAAATGACAATTAAATATTATATTGAAAACTATATATAAAACCAATGGCAATAAATTTTTTTCACTTACCTCGATGCCATGCTCGGTATAAAAATCGGCGGTACCCATGCTCGCATACAACTTGTATCCCATGTTCTTAAGATTTCTGATGGACCCCAGTAACTCCATTTTATGCTAAAAGCAAGTCCATCATTTGTATATCATACATTTACACATACATTTTATTGAGAAAATTAAATTTTTTTAAAGATCTTAAATCATCGCAATCTGCTTTTTTTAAAATCAAATAGTAACAGTTTTGCGTGGCAAATAATACGAAGAATCAATATTATAGATTTTTAATTTTCAAATTGTATGAAATGTCTAAAATAATACTTTGCTTCTTGTGAGGCATTATAATAGTATTATAGTAAAACATAACATTTATGTAAAACTTTCACAATGTAATCACCTTAAAACTGCCTACGGAGAGCAATATGCCCCTTTGAGGCATATGAAAACCGGTGCTCAGCATGCCTTTTAGGTACGCCTCGAAACGATTCTCGCCGAAACAAGCCACTTCTCCGGTAGATACCATCTCAACACCCAACGTTACATCAGCGCCTTCAATTAAATCAGTATAGTGTCAGTATTTAAACAATTTTTTAAATTATATTATTAACTAATTAATCTAATAATGTCTATAATAACATTCTAAACTTTAAGCAAGATTTCTATTTCAAATTCAAGTTTATACGATCTAAAGAAGAATAAAAGCAAAATTAATTGTACAAAAAAAGGGAATAGATTTAAAAATATTAAATAATTGAGAAACTTGCATGCAGCGTCTATTATTCACATTTAAATATAAATTTCTCGTAAATTCTATATAAAACTAATGTTTTTACCTGCAAGACGAGAAAAGGAAAACTGAGGTACTTTTATTCCAACTTTTCCACAGCCAGCTAAAACGTCTACAGGTTCAATCGTTTCGCCAATGATTAAACGAGTTGCCGTCGCAACGAAATCGTGATCTAAAGTTTTTGAGACGAAAGGGAAAGATCTGGATACTCGTGCGTTACATTCAATCACCTTCAGTTCGTTATCCTGCATAAAAACATCATCAATTAATTATCAATTCTCGTTAAATATAAAATATTATAAAATCTATCAATTTATATAATCTATATTTTTGATGTCTGAACAATAAAAGTTATATGAAAATATATAATTGTAAAATTAACCGGACAATATAAGATTATTATTTAAAAAGTATTAGTAATAATAATAATAATAATGATATCTGTACATATATCATTAAACTTAGCTAATTAATTTTTGAATGCATTAAAATAAAGTGCGTCTACCTTCGCAATCAACTGCATATTGAAAGGGCCAGTGACTCCCAAAGACGCTGCTACTGCTTTCGAGATGCTCTTTATCTTCGCCAGAGTTTGCGTATTAATGTCCTGCGGTGGTGTTACGAGCGTGGCGTCACCTGAATGAACACCAGCATTTTCCACGTGTTCGGATACTGCCATGCATAAAATAATCCCCTCGTAAGCTACAGCATCGACATCGATCTCTTTCGCCTCGAGGATGAACTTCGATATCACCACGGGATGCTCTTTGCTGACCTCGCTCGCGCTTTTCAAATAAGACTCGAGATCCTGATTCGAGTAGGCGACGTTCATCGCGGCACCGCTTAATACGTACGAAGGTCTCACGAGGCATGGATAGCCGACCTCATCGCAAAACTCAATTGCGGACTTCAAGTTTGTCAATTCCTTCCATCTAAAATGAGAAATAAATTAATAAGTTGCGGGAATCTCATCACAACAAATGTATACATATATTTATGTATATCTGACAAAATTTGTACCTCGGTTGCGATATACCGATGCTGTCGAGCATACGAGAGAACTTAAAACGATTTTCGGCGCCGTCGACGGATTCCGGGGACGTTCCGAGGATTCGAGCTTGCTGTCTATGTAGATCCATGGCAATATTGTTAGGCAGTTGTCCACCCATGGACAGTATGATACCTTCAGGACTCTCACAGTCGTATATATCCATCACCACCTCGAAGGAAATCTCCTCGAAATACAATCTATCGCTCATATCGTAGTCTGTACTGACTGTCTCCGGATTGTAATTCACCATTATGGTCTTACGTTCAAGATTTCGCAATTCTCGCAGACAACTCACGGCGCACCAATCAAATTCCACTGAGCTGCCGATTCTGTACACTCCAGAACCTGAAGCAAACGTTAGATTTTTTTTTATTTGCAAACAATATGTCTTATGTTCATTTTTTAAAATTATGTTTATGTCGATAATCTCTCTTTTTACACTATAAGCAGCTAAACAATAATCATCTTGGTAAAGAATTGATCCTAATGCAATTAACTAGCAAAATTGTACTTTTATTCAAGAAAGCCTATAAGTCGATTCTAATGGAATTGACTCGTTATCAGTGTGATTTTTTTACAGCTATAGTTTTGTTACTTCAAGAAAGTTTGGTTGCGATTAATTAACGTGCACAATGATAATTATTTATAACACTGTACCTATCACCATTGTGTAGCCACCAGGGAACTCTACATCGTGAGTGGTGCCGTTGTACGTTAGATAAAGATAATTCGTATTGGCCGGCCATTCAGCGGCCACCGTGTCAATTTGTTTCACCATCGGTCGAATGTTATTTTCTTGTCTCTGTATCCTGACAGCCAATTCGGAGCTCTTCACTATGGCGGCAATCTGCTTGTCCGAGAAGCCGTTTTGCTTTGCGCCCAGCAGCAAGTCGCGCGTGAGCTTCGTGTGATCGGTGTTCTCCAGGAGCACGTGATAATCGATGATGTTCTTCATCTTCTCGAGGAACCAGCGATCGATCTTGGTAAGTTTGTACAATCGGTCGATCGAATAACCGGCTTTGATCGAAGCCGCGAGAACAAACATTCTTTTGTCGGTCGGCTTCTCCAGCTCCTCGTCGTTTGCCAGCTTCACGTAAGGATCGAAGCCATTCACATTTTCGTTGACCATTCTCAACGCCTTCTGGAAGGCTTCCTCGAATTTACGACCGATCGCCATCACTTCACCCACGCTCTTCATAGAACTGCCGATCTGAAAAATGTCCAACATCGCAGATATAAGAAAAAAAAAATATATGCATACTGTCTTGTGTTTATGCAACTTAGAAAATATTTATATAAATATATGGATAAGAATAAGAATATATAAAGCATTTTGTGGAATGATACGGGGCTGAATAATGAACGACTCATCCGGCAAGTTTAAACCCAGGCGGTTTGATCCCCGACTGTCATTCCATATATATCTCGATTTTAGAGATTTGTCTGTCTACGTTTTAAAAGAATGATTTGAAAATTTAAAATCCACAGTATCAAATTTTACTTGAAATTTTATTTCTTTTACTAATTTCTGGTTAATGTCTAATCTCTCGAATTGCTCAAGTGTCGAGAAGGAATCAACAAGCAAATTGTAGTCGAATTAAGAAATTATTCAATACCCTCGTGCTGACGCGATGAAATTTGCTGAGATCCCATCTGGGCATTTTGACAACGCAATAATCAAGGCTCGGCTCGAAACAAGCTGTCGTCTCTTTGGTAACAGAATTACAAATATCCGGCAGAGGTATTCCAAGGGCCAATTTGGCGGCGACGTAAGCCAGAGGGTAGCCCGTAGCCTTACTGGCTAGTGCCGAGCTTCTGGACAGTCTAGCGTTCACCTCGATGATATAATATTCCTCGGAAAATGGATTGAGCGCATACTGGATGTTACACTCGCCGACGATGCCAAAGTGCCGAATGACCTTAATGGCGGTAGTTCGCAGCTTGTTGTAGTCTCTATTCGACAGGGTCTGGCTCGGCGCGACGACGATCGACTCGCCGGTGTGTATGCCAAGTGGATCGACGTTCTCCATATTGCACACCGTGATGCAATTGTCGTATGCATCGCGAACAACCTCGTACTCCACTTCTTTCCAACCCTTTAGGGATTTGTCGATTATTAATTGACTGGAATGAGCTAGAGCTTGTTGCGCTAGTGTTCTTAGCTCCTCTTTCGTATTAGCAAAGCCCGATCCGAGGCCACCGAGCGAGAACGCAGCACGCGCCATTATGGGGTAGCCCAGTTTCTCAGCAGCTTCCAATGCCTGTTTGTAAAGAAATTATATATCAAAAATAAGTGTATGTATACGTTGACAATACATTAGAATAGTATTTTTATTTTATAAAATTCTAAGAAATATTAAAAAATTATCTTCACTCTTAAGAAATTTTTAATTCTTTTTTTAGTAACCGAAAACTTTATTGTGGAAACGTATTCAAGATCGATATGTCGATAAAGTGACTTTTATAAAATGTCGATCTCACAGAGGACTAATTGAACGAAATATTCATAAATCAAATAAAAAGCATTACTAGTGTAAGTTAATTTACCTCTTGGACCGAATATACAGCAGCACTCGGCGCGACTCTTTCATTTATCTCGCTGATGCGATCTGCGAAAATCTTTCTATCCTCAGTTTGTATAATGGATTCGATTGGCGTTCCCAGAATTTTAACGTTGTACTTGGCGAACACGCCGTTCTTTTCAAGTTCCACGCCACAATTTAGGGCGGTTTGCCCGCCGAATGTTAACAATACACCGTCCGGTCTTTCGGATCGTATGACCTAAAACAGATTGTCGAACAAATGTTCCTTTTATTTTAATATTAAATATTAGATAAAATTTAATATCTGACACCTTCATCAATATATTCAACTGGTTTATGTCGAATAGATGTCGACGTTGACAATGTGAAAGTATACTGCATCATTTAAATTATAATTAATGTTAAAGTATCAATTAAAAAAAATTATTCTTGAAACTTTAAATGCACAACCAAGCTCACCTGCTCTACATATTCTGGTACAATCGGCAAGAAATACACTTTGTCGACCATGCCTTTTGACGTTTGCACCGTGGCAATATTAGGATTTATCAAGAGTGTCTGTATCGACTCTTCCTTTAGCGCTTTAATCGCTTGCGAGCCCGAATAATCGAATTCTCCGGCCTGGCCGATGCTGAGGCCTCCCGAGCCTAGAATCAATATCTTTTTCGGATGTTCGGTAACAATCGGCACCAAAGGTTGATAGGCAAGTCTCTCGGTGAGCCTGTTCTTTATCGAGACGTTAGGGCGATCGTTGATCTGGTCTTTCACGCTCTCCAGAAACACGTCGAACAGGCATTCGAGGTCCTCGGGCCCCGCCGTGTGCTCCGGATGAAATTGAACGGAGAAATAGGGCAAGACCGAGTGTACCACACCCTCGTTGCTCTTGTCATTGGCGTTGGTGAAGAGCACCTCCCAATCAGCCGGCAATCGGGTAGCGTCGGCGCAAAATCCATGATTCTGCGAGGTCATGTAGCAGCGTCCGGTATCGCGATGCGTCGCCGGTTGATTGTGGCCTCGGTTGCCGTACCTGCAAAATGACGTCGCTCTCGTAACAGTCGGTTATTATATCTCGTATTACATAAGAAAGACTATTCGCGCGTGACAGAACAATAATTTCTTTTTAAAACGGCAGAAACGGGTTAAAACAGAGATAAGAAACGTTGGAATTAGAACATTTGGGATAAGGAGGAGTGTGGAGTCTATGACAATCTTATCTTTCTTGTTTGCCGAGCAGCAGTAATGCGAATAAATGTTGACACGCATATAATTCATATGGTATAACGTACCGCATTTTGTACGTGACACAGCCAGCGGCTATCGACAGCAATTGATGGCCAAGACATATGCCGAAGATAGGTCTTTTCTGCTTGAGTGCCTCTCGAATATTTTTTATGGTCACTTGGCACATGTTGGGATCACCCGGGCCGTTGCTGAGGAACAAACCGTCATACTCGGCAGTTTTAAAATCGTAGTTCCATGGCACGACATCCACGCGGGCACCACGTTTTAACAGACATCTCAGCTGGTTGTATTTTAATCCGCAGTCGACCACGCATATACGAGGATGCCCGTCCGGATTATACGTTTTTGGGACCGGCTGAAAAATATTATATATGTTTGTATGAAATTCTCTTGTGTCGAAAGACAATGTCACTTTTATAAAAGAAATCTTAAGCTATATCAGGTAGCTTTAAAACTATTAATATATTTGTATTATATTTAATTATTCATAATTGCTACAATAGCTCACAAAATTGAATAAAATCGAATTTTTTAGATTATCATTAGATAATATAAGATGCTCGCTATCAAATGTACTTATAAAAAGAAACATTTCTTTACCTGAGAAACTTCCGCAACAAGGTTTCTTTCGTTAGGGTCTTCTATTGAAGGCATTATTGGCAGAGTATGTGACGAGGGTTTACCCAAAATTATTCTGCCCAATATAGTACCTTTTTCGGTAATTACTTTTGTCAATGCTCGCGTGTCAATCTCACATATACCGGATATGTTTTGTTCCTTCATCCAGTCGGATAGTGTCTTAGTTTGTCTCCAGTGGCTGGGCTTCTCGCAAATTTCTCCGACCACGAGTCCAGCAGCCCAAATACGATGAGACTCGAACCAGCTGAGTCAAAATTAAAATTTTAACAATCAATAATCAATGATATTTTTTACATCTATATGCGCTATTGTTTCTTAATCCATCCTGCAGAAAATCTGTAAAAACTTTTTGTACAACTATTTCAACAACATGAGAAATGTTGTACTTTATATTTATGTGAAATCTTTCTGTTTATTAAATAAGAATAAAAATTTTGAAATATAACTTAAAAAAAAAAAGAATATTTTCAAGAAAGCAAAACTGAGATTTTTGCTAAAGTAAATTATATTTTAAATATCTTGTACTTATTATACATTTTAATATTACTTTATTGTTTTATTTATTATTTTTTTTAGGTTTATTTTAACTTTAGTTAAAATATAAAATTGTTTTACGCGGGGAAAATGCGCACATTGATTCACGATTGACGATTCAATTGACGTGCGATGCGTAAAGATTAATATTATCATTACATGAAGTCCCGTTAATGGGCGCTGATTTAAATCTGATTGAGATCACTTACTACGGTATGCCGTGTTCGTCCTTTTCATCGCCGAAGATGCCATAGTTTCCTACGAGTGGATACGTAAGCACTAGAATCTGAGCGTGATAAGAGGGATCCGTGAGTGACTCCGGATAACCAATCATACCAGTCTGGAAGACTGTAAAAAAAATAATGAAATACAAATAATCTTTATATTTACACATAAATGCATACGCGTATTTAAAACGCACTTATTAACGATATTAGCACTCATTTAGCGTGTCGTTTACGTATACTATAGAAACTCAAGAATTAGCGCGTTAACATTGTTATAATACGCGTTCTGAATATGGACCATTATTTCACATTATACAACACACTTGTGGTAAAAAAACAAACAAATAAAAAAATCTCGCAAGGTTTATAATTTAAAATTGTGTACATATTAACAATAATATATTAATAATACATGAAAATCACTGCATAATCGCAACGAAATAGTTTAATCTAAAATTGATATTGTAGAAACATATATTTTACTGCTGGTATTTTATTGATTAAGATTGAAATAATAATTCTTGCGCAAAAAATTTATTATCTCGCGGACTTTGAATTTTCAGTTTTTACACTACTATACTCACGGTTACCATATTACATACACATAAAATGTAATAAATGTATCGAACATTATAAAATGTAAACATTAATTAATATTTGTATTTACATTTCATATTATTTTGATTCCAGGAATTTATGATCTAACAGAAACTGATGAACTATTGACAATACAAATCGTAAAATGTTGTTAGCAAAAGATCGATCAATCTTAAGTCGAATAAAATTTATTTCGAGGCATATCAATTTTCTATCATCGCCATTATCGCAGTGGTACATGCGTAAACTTGAAAATTTTCTGCGCAATATAGTATCCAACGTGAAAACTTAAAGTGAGAATTTATTACGTATGTTTGTGTGTATGTACGTGCACGAAACTTCACATCAGCAAGTTTGCATAAAATTCAAGAGATTCTCCTAGTATTTCTTTACAGGACATATGATCACAAGTCACGTATTCGTGTTAACGTATCAAATTACCAATGTATTAATTTATAATAATAATATATATTAGAATTGCGAAATATATTAAGTTTATTTTGAGAGATTGTGTCTACTGTTCTTTTTGCTTTTACTTTCTTCTGCTTCTATTTAGAAATTGTATTAAGATAAAGATATACTAAACGTATCTCGTAACTTAAGACTAGCGAGATTTGACTAACAGCGTCTATCTAATATCCACATGTTGCATTTGCAACGTAATCATTTAGGCTTATCACCGGTAGCCGGTTGGGAAGCAACAACGAATACAAACCAGTAATGCCGCTTGAGTTCTGAGTAAACCAGAAAAATAATATTAAAAATTGTAAGCGGTAAGTCCTTCGGCATTCAAGATATTTAAACGTATATTTAAACGTGATGTATTAACTTTCAAGAAAATTCAAACAATCTAAAAATCAAAATCTAAATAATTGCGCATTGTTAATATTATAATTCTGTGTTACAATTTTCCTTAATTTGGCATCTTTTGCTATAAACGTAGACAAATTTTAATGTATGTGTAATTTAATTAACATGCATTTAAAAACACTATTTTTTATTTTTAAGTATATATGATTTTTTATTGTTAAAAATAACGATCTCATGACTCAACGTTAATTTATCCAATTATCTCTCTTTTTTTCGAGTGAGAGCGATCAAAATTTTATTTTTAATTTTACACTTTTAAAAACTTTATTTAATAAAACAAGTTAAATAAAATTGATGTATATAATAAAGTTTTCAATATTGACAAAAGAATAGCATATGAAAGAAGGCAAGCACGAGGCGTGTAATTGGCGCATAGTAATAAATTAATAATAAATAATTCTATAATAAAAATATAATTGTACATTTTGACTTTTTCTTTAAATCGTCTTCAGCGTGTTAAATAAAATTAGCAGAAATGTTTTTTTATTAAGAAAATTAGTCATTAAATTAAGAAAAAAAGGAAAGACATTTTTTCTAATATCGTCCTACTTACAATTGGTCGTAACGAATCGATATTACGCTTATAAAGGTCAACATCTGCTTAGCAAAAGATATGCTTCTAAAAACGTCGGTTTTCGTCCTGCGCTACAAACGAATTTATTTTTATCATATCTACGGCTTTTATGCTGATAAGAAACAATTTAGTCAAATAACGATCTTATAACGCAAATGATTATACTTAATTGACGAACGATGTATCATTTCAGAAGCTATATGTACAACACTCGAGACATAATTTTTGCGCATATTTAACATTAAGTAATGACGCTGCTGATCGTAAACGTGTCTTCGGCGAATTACATAGAAAAACATATTGCGTTGCCTTACTGCGTGTGCGATCTATACAAAATAACGATAACGCCACTTGCAATATGTTAATATCGACAGATCTCTGTGATGCAAATCAAATAGTGTGTTCCATCTCTCGATAATATTCTCGTGTATAATGCTTTCCGGTTTAAAGAAGCACGGCCTGCCGCGAGGTAGGATACACACACGTGCACGCATACGGCTCCGCTTTGTAACAGAAGCACGTGCGCGTCGCGCATCGTGCACGAACTCACCAATTTCACCGTCGACGGACACGTCGGCACCGAAGTGTTTTCCCGAGAAAACACTTCCGTCCTCCAAGAGAAGATAGCTATCAGGCGCGTCGTTAAGCCCGGTCGACAGGTCGCTCGACATTTTGAATTTTAATGTTGTTCTTTTCCCACGCACGTGCTGCCGACACACTGGCGCGCGTTGTGAGCCGGCAGCACGCTTTTAGGCTATCGGCAAGTTCCAGGCGGTTCAGCTTCTCCTACAAAGCGATATGCGCACTGTTAAAGCGCGAGTAAATGCGCGTTGAACGACCAATGCGATCCCGCTCAGCTGCGTAGAAGCTGCCACGCAAGGCATGTGGTGAGGATCGTTGCCACACCATTGGACGCTCGAATGGTAGAAATATCGAACGTCTGCGTTCTGTTAAATTGGCGGGAAATTTTCGTTGGCCGACACTTCGAATCGATCTTTCAGTTCTTGCCAATTTCAATCCTAATTTGTAATTTTAGTTTAAAAGTTTGCGAGAAAGCACTAAAAGTTCGTTTTTTTTTAATATAATGGAATATCTCGGTGTATATTGAAAAATGTTAAGAAACAGGAAATATATTACATTAGAAAATATACTGTAGAAATAAATTATTGATAGAGACAATTATGTAATTAAAAGGTATTAATTTTAAGTCATTTATACAAAATTATTCAATACATTAATTTGCTTTCTAGAACTGTTTTTATTAATTTTTATCAAAAATGATAATATAATATATTTATATACATATACATTTTTATAATATCACACATATAAAAATAAGAGCTCTATATTTTTTGTTTTTTAAAAGTTTTTTATACTTGCCTACTATTATAAATAGCAATCCAGTCTGAGCATTATAAATACAATTATAAAAATTCCTGGATCTCTTAAGTAGCACAGCGACAGATCTAACTCATTTAGTTAAGTTAAGAATGAATAATTTGAGAGAGCATAAGCATGCACGCAAACACGTACTATGCAAAATTACGCTGTTATTCTCTGATATTCCCAAATATTCTTGCTCCTTTCGTTTCTTTTATAATGTATTCGATCGGCGATTAGTTGGTCCCATGCGTAATAAAATTCCATCATTTCAGGCGATAGTTTATAAGCTACGCTGGAAACACAAAAGAGACGCTGACTTAATCTTATCTATGACAAAAATATTGCTCTTTATTGCTATCCAAATTTTACGTTCGCTGCAAGTTATTCAAATGCACCTAGAAACTTACACGTGATCCGGCATTGGAAGATCCTCTCCCTCGTTTGCTTGTGTTAATATCTCATTATACCGACGATTCAAATCATCCCAGTCAGCCGGCTGGTCTTGATGACATAGGTGGGCTCGGATTTTGCAGTACAACGGCTCTCTCTCGTATATAAGTTGACAAGCCGGTCTTTCCAGTTTTTTCATCGATCCCTCTATCCTCACCTAAATCATTATTTCTCGTATTTTAAGCACTATCTATTCCAAGTTAACCGTTAGATACATTTTTTATTATACATATATTCCGTCAGAGATAATTTTACTTTTAATTTTTACTTATTAGCAAAAGTACAAAAAGTATAAAATATCTTTTATACTTACAAATATAAAACAATAATATTCAGGATTGAATAAATAAATTTCATAAGTATTTTTAATATTCAGTTAATTATTGAGAATTATCAGTTGATGGATTACTCCAAAGCTAAAATACTTACCTGTCGCGAAACATGATGTTGCTTATCGTTTTTATAGGTCCACAAAAAGCACATAGCAGTATACGGATTAGAATCCTGTAAAAAAAGAAAGTTAAAAAGTGAAATCTTTATTATTTAAAAAACATTGAAACATTAAAAGAAAGCAAATTAAGCTTTTTTATTAGATGCCTAATTATTTCCAAGTGTTTTTATCAATTTGAAGTTTATATTTTTTTCGAGATATACTTAAAAATATTATTATTTTGAGAGTTTTTCACAATTTTTCTTGTATTGAATTTTCCGCTAAGAACCATGTTTATTTAAAATATTAAAAGAATACATAATTTGGAAAGAAAGCTAAACTTACGACTTTTTTGTATAATTTATAGAATACAGTGGTGTTCCTTAAAATTAATATTTTCAAATTATTTTCTAATAAATACTTTAAATTACTTTCCGCTAAATATTTTAATATTTTAATATATTAATATTTACCATGTCCTTGACTTTCTGACTACGTGCGTCTGTCATAATGACAAAACCGTCATCATCAAATTCTCGTAAAACCAAATTTCTTGAACTGACTTTGAAATTTCTAAAATATAAAATAAAAATTGAATTTCTCTGTTAGATGATACACTTTGAGATCTGTACCTACGGGGAAGAGATAGTTGCTAGACAACAGACATCTATTGGTCCAGCTTGGAATTTTATCGCTTCGTTGCGCCATATCCTGAAGAGATCGACAGGATTGTCAACAGGATCGATTCGCGCGAGACCCACATGATCGCCAGACGTTGCCATTTCTTTTGTATGGTATGTATGAATCAGCTCAGTGAAGTATTTCACACGAAAAATATTCTTACAAATTTTCTGTTAGTAAAAATAATTTTATTGCATTATCAAAATAGATATATAGAGCGCTCAAATTAACTAATTGCTGGAATTTCAAAATCTTTTACAGCATTATTACTTTCGGATCAAAGAAATACTTTTTATCTTGTGATTGCATCATGGACATCAGTATCATATTTTTAATTATCAAAATTTTGTAATAAAAATTACAAAATTTTTAATTATGTAATATAATTATTAAATTACATAAATTACAGATAAAAATATATACAATAACTTTTTAATTAAAATATATTTTTTAAAAGATACAATTCTCAAAGTATTCTAATATTCCATGTCTTAATAAGTGTATGTAGCTCCGTTATACCTTTCGGGATTCAACACGTTCTTACTTTCAAACGAAAATTCGTTATGCAGTTTTCATTAATCTTCCACCAATTTTATATATACTTAATAGTATTGACTTCAAATAGATGTTATGTTTTTTATTTTTATTTTTACTTTTACTTCTACAATTAATTAATTACATGTATATCAATTTGATACACCCTCTTATCATTTTTACTTTACGATGCTTCTACAATTTTGTTTTTAATTTTAATTTTTAATTTTATTTTTTGGTTTCTATTCTTACACTGTAGTATTTAAGTTCATTTTACACTCTATCGACTTCGTTAGTTGATGAGAACTCTGTATGGACAGAATATTATTTTTTATAATTATTTCACATTAAATTGTTATTTATTTCATTACACGCTTTGTTTTTCGGTTTTGTGATCTTTTACTCTTCTTATATTTTGCGTTATTGTTATTCTACTTCTGTTATTAACTCTTTTATATAATTACGTATTTTAATGGTCCAAATTATTTTCAGTTCGTATCTAGTTAAATATTTAAATATACTTCAACCATGCCTTCCGTGTATAAATTTAAGTTTATAATAAAATATAATAAAAACGTAATTTAGTTTTTTTCTTATAACAAATTGTATTCTTTATTCATGTTATTAATTCTGTTAATAAATAACGAATTGAAAAAATCTTTTTTTCAGTTACGACAATCAATTCATGTCCTTATAATGATGTTAGATTAACAAGTTAAACAATTCAAAACATTGGCAACTTTTTTAACTTTAACAACAAATTTTAATTAGAAAGAAATTAATAAAAAATACTTGAGAAAGAATCGCAAAGATCATAAAGTATTATAAAATACATATGAAAATTAAATCAACGTGCAATTAATATTTAATATTTAAAATGAAGATCTAATTCAATGTTATAATCTCGAGAAGTAATCGATATCGTTGTATGACGTCTACTTGAGGCTCTTGAACTAAATAATAACAAACACCTGTTACTCGGTACTCGTGATATCGATGGTATTCAATATGTTACGTCATTTTTTTCTTGCAGTGGAGCAGCGAACGTATCTTTCTCGAATTCCACTTATCTAATTAATTATTCGAAATAATTTACCATCGAAAGTGAGTAAAATAATCGAACAAACGCTGTGCCACGTTTCCAGTAAATAATCGACACCCACGCTTCAACGATGCTACTACTACGTGAACTACGTATACTACTTTTATTGATTCCCATTTTCTACTCCCACCCATGGTAGAAATACACATGCTCCCACTTACTGCTCGTACGAGTCTGCGCAAAGTGCACTTTGGCAAGACTGCCAACATGTTATACAATTCGTCATCGTAAGATTAAAATTCTCTGCTGATAAGTCGCAACTGAAGTAGATCTTGAGTCTCGAGCGTTTCCTCTCGAGCTCATTTTCATAGATGCAGACATTGTGCGGATTGAGGAAAAAAAGTGTCATTTGAAAATCATCAGACTACTATTTTAAGAAACTTTAATATGTAAACGATCTTACACACAAACGTAGATGGATCGTAATCGCTAAAATAAATGATATGAATCTAAGAGATAACGTACGAAGCAACTATGTATACGCATGAAAGAATAAGTTAAAAAAAATTATGCCACGGTAACGAAGGACTTTTATATCCTATAGAGACATATAAAGGAGACATTATATATTTACAAGAATATACGATTGCACGTTCAGTAACAGGATGTCGTACCTGATAAAATTATGATATCGATAGCAGCAACGTGTAGATATCCGTGCAAGGCGGACGCGATCGAGTCTCTATCGGCGTGTAGTAACGATCGCGTCGCGCGTAATATGTAGTTTAGAAATTTCTATCACAATTTCGATTATCAGTCCCATGTTTTAATACACAACGGTCGTTTTCCCGCTCGGGGGTATCCGTCATACGTGCGTCGAGCGTGTGTCTCGTATATTTCGCAGTATGACGTTTATCAAATGTCAATTTGTAGACAGATCCACTCAGCCAATGGTAGCTTTAATCCAATCGATATGCGACGAAATTTTATCGTACAGTCGAGGTCTCTCGATACCGTCCTTCGAGCAAGCTATCCTCCAGCTGCCGATGCCCGTCAGCGCCCATTTTCGACCTTCCGGTTGAAGACAAAGCATCGAACTACCGGCGAGTTCCTCTTCCTGTTGAAATTGAAATAATATAAGGCGCTTCGTCCGATTAACCAATTTCGCTTATAGTTTAAAATTTATTTGTATCATTAAAAATAATAAATTAAACAGATATTCATTAAAAGTAAAAGAATAAAATCAATAGAAAATAATTTAATAGAGAAAAAAAGCAACGACTTATATTGGAAAGCTCACATTGCAATCGTCCGCGGAATATGCTTGCTCGGTACAGACACTGTTCACCGAAGGGATGCTGATATTTTCGCATTTCTCCATTGCGCTATGTTTGAGTTGTACCCTTTGCAGTACGTCGCCTGTTAGCAGAAAAAAGAGAGACATTATATATTTGTTTCAAACATTTTTCTTGCACTTCGACTTTTGATTACCCAAACAAAAAAAATGCATGGGATATATTTAATAAGCACATTCTATAAATCTAATCATTCTAATTTACATTCTTTTATATTTAATACAGAGTTTTTATCAGTTAACTTAATATATACATATTGACATGCATTTTTTTATCAGAATATTTTATTAACAGAAGATATATGTATTTCACAATAATATCAAGTGCATCTTAATAATTAAAATTATTTCTTTTAATGTTCAATAGCGCTTTAAAAAAGTTCCAAAAAATATCTCAATTTTCAAAAAATAGGCTCTCTAAATTTTGTAAGGCAAATAAGGGTCAGTAGTACGTAATGATTGTGCACGTACGATTTCTCGCCCAGCCAAGAGTGTTGCATTGTGATGTGTTACTCGATGAATCCTCGCTGGAGGGCAGGCAAACCGGTCTCACGAAGTCCGAAAAGGTCGTCACCGGTCTATCCAACTTCACCAGAACGGTCGTGCCCTCCACCGGCGATTTGATCATACCGACGATCCGACGTTCCTGTTCCCAGGGTGACGTGCTCGAAAGTCGTACGACACCAAGTCGGGCCGACCATTCCGCTTTCGGTTGACTGTAAAAAAGAATGGACACCGTCAAAATTAAGAACATACACAATCCTGCTATCTAAAAAAAGGCATGTTAAGTAGATAACTTACGTTTCTCAAAATTATTTGTTGCCGCTTTTCCGTGATGCTGATCTTTTATTTTATAATTTTGCAATTGTGATGTTAATGAAAGCCAAGTAAAATAATGTAAAAGAATTTTCTCAATACGGCATATATATACTTTTTATAAAACTCACCCTTGGAAACAGTACGCAGTTGTGAGCAACCAATTGTCCGCCACGAGAGTGGCATCGCAAACGTGAACTCCTTCCTTGAAGAGTGCAACATGCCAAGGCCAATCGCCAGGCTCTGCCATCTTATTGAGACCATTAGTACCGCCATTGGTACGTAGAGATTGTATTCCGCATTCTGATTTTCAAAAATCAAAATAACAACACAAATGTCAATGTTCAAGTTCGAGATATAAACAGAAGTGTGAGAATCAAGAAATATAAAAACGTATAAATACATAAAAATTCTAATAATAATTTAAATAATTTAAATTTAAAATAATATAACAGTAAATAAGAAAAAGCTAAAGAAGGGAAACATGCATGATTGTGTCAAAGCGTTTATCTATGAGATAAAAACTTGTTAATTACGTGACGCATATAGAAAAATACGTACCGAGATCGGAACAGCGGACGTATAGAACTTCCTTGCTGGGGCAGGGAGCCCGGACGAAAGTGATTTCCGGTGCTGACGGATCTTCCATGTACACGTACGGGACATCCTCTTCGTCATCAGTCCTTACCTCAACGGAAGCCACGCCACTATAATGAAGAATTGCGGAAGAACGATTTATACATTACGAAATTATTCTCTTACTAAACGCGCAAAATGATATAAAAATATGAACAGATCTTAAATTACAGTGACATCTAAATAGTAATCAGCTTTTATTTTATTCGGTCTTTTTCTATTGCTAATTTTCATTTTATACTATACAAAAAAAAGGAGATACTTACGTATACGTGAGTAAAGTGCACAATGAGCTTGCTGCCGTTTGAAGAACATTATTTATCTCCGTTTCCGGTAGAGTAGCGTTTAAATTGGCGGTACAAAGTTTGCCGAGGGTGCCCTTCTCATTGAACACGACGTAGCCCTCCTTGTTGTACTTCGCGACGTGCGGCGTGCTCCAAGATTGCGATTTCAATTCGTGGACGCTCGGCGCCAGGAATACTGCGGCAAAATAAAGAGCACTTATTTTGATTTCAGTCATTATTTCCCTGTCAAAGTTAATTAATACTTCTATTGATCCTCCTCGATTCTTTGTGCTTGAAGACTACTTTTATTACTTGTCACGTTACTTACGACAGTCTTTCTCGTCGCTGCCGTTCGGACAGTCCGCCTTGCCGTCGCATCGCTTCGTATGCGGTACACAGGATCTTCCTACTCCGCAGTGCATGTAACCATCCCGGCAGTAGGCGCAATTCTTCTCGTCGGACAGATCCGGGCAATCGATCACGCCGTCGCAGATCCTTGGAGACAAAGCTTTCGACTGAAGCGCTTGCACGCATCCTACATTGATGTTCACATTGATTAATCAACTTATATCAAATATTGTGCTTCTTGTAATTTGACTAAAGAAAGTCTGCGCTCTGTAGATATTATTCTATTCTAAGTAAAATTAATCGCACCTGGCTTCGGCCTGCAACTGCCAGGACCGACGTATTCCGGAAAGTTGGAGCAATCCAAAGCGCGTTTTATCTTCTCGGGGAGACGACTGCCGCACCCATTCCAGAACTCCCTGCAGAAGCTCCTGCAAGGTAGTTGCAGCAGATCCTCCGGCTGACTCGATCGACACGCAGGCTGCAGCACCTGGCAGACGAAGTCGTAGGCCAACGGATAGCATTCCGCGTCCACCAGTTCTCTAATTACAATCATATTAATTAGATCGTATTATTAATTTAAAGATATAACTCGAAAAGAAAAAAATTAATTCTTTGCAAATATTAGTCTTTAAGCTGTCATATATCTAATTAATCGTAAAATATAAAAAGTAAAATGTTATAATAACACAAAATAATTTACAAAATTTTTTAAAATCATACATTTTTCCAGGTTCTCTTTAACAATTTTTTTAAAATAAAACAAAATAAAATATGTAGTTTTTGCTGTCACAGTAGATAACGTGTTTTTTAAAATTTAATTGAGTTCACTGTAGACTTATCGAGATTTAGGAAGATATACCTAAAAGCGATAACATCCTCCTCGACGTCTACCAACGATCTGTGTCCCAACATGTTCGGGTACGAACTGATATTATAAGGGAGATGTTTGCAGTAGGATAAGTCCAGCTTGCCGCATCTTCTTGGCGGAGGGACTGTCGTAGTCGGCGGTAACGTCGAGACGGTCGATTGCGGACTGCTCTGCGCATTGAGGGCCTTTATGCTTTCCTGCACTTCGAGGCTCTTCGCCTCTATCGTCAGATTCGTCAGGTATCGCGAGGTTTTGGGATTCAATTCCCGCGACAGAATGTCCACGATATTCCCGGTAGTTATGGTCTGATATCGCGGGTCGAATCTCACATCAAAGTGCACCACCAAATCGCGGCCATCCACCCTATAAACGTATACAAATGTAAATATTGAAAAAGAAAATTCTTTAAAAATTTATTGAAACTTTAAAATTTGCAAAAATTCTTAAAATTGATTAGGGATCAAAGTTACTGTTTAAAGATTATTGTCATTGATATTTGTAATACAAAATATTTCTTTTTTTTTCGTGATCTTTGCATATATTAAAATATATTAGATACATCACTTTTGTGACTTACAATTGTGTGGGAATCTGTCGAGTTAAGTTTATGATTTACGTCGAGTTGAGCTTATAATTTCTTTATAATTCTTTTATATGTCGGATATCCGCACAATACGGTTCTGCAACAATGCGAAACTCATCTCGTGGACCGTCGCGCGTCGGTGAGGATAAATCAAGTGAAATCTACGGACTCGAGTGCGATACATTATTGATGAGCGCGGTGGCCGCAATAATGTTGGTTGCATTTCATTGAACGCTGAAAGGAGCAAGTGTCGTGAAATCGCGAGAAAGCCGCGAGAGACGATAGCGCCCGATTTCTCTCCCGCGCGCTGCCCCCGAGCCGTTTTCATCGGTTTCCGTGACATCGGTTGGCATCCACGATTGGTCCCATCTGTTTTCCCATTCGCGAAAACGGATCTCGGGGAAACCAGCCGAGGGAGAGCTCGTGGCATACGTGCGTCTCGCGTAATTGACTGATTTTCTGATTTCACACGTGACGCGCTCACCGTTGGATGCTGTTGCACAATTTGTTTTGCAAGCGTCTTTAGGTGTGCCTCACGGCGCAGCACGAAGGAAGGTGAATGTAGGAAACACAACAATATCGAATATCCTATATGTGTTGACAGCATTAATTGTAAATGTGATACACAGTTTTTCGTTACCCGTCGAGAGCCAGGACGTCCGATGCGAGGAACGATAGTTTCAGCCAGCTGCGACGGAAGATAAGATTCAGACGGTCGCGATAATCTCGCGACCGTATCCGGAAGGCCTCGGTGGAGGGATCAGCCAGCTCCGCGGTGAAGGAATCACCTTTGGTAACTCGGAACGTCGCGAGAAATATCTGATCCCCCGGTGGATCTGACGTGAGGAATGTGTCTGAAGCAAAAGAAAAGAAACATTCGATGCCGTTTGTTATAAGACATAATTAATTCGTGTGAGAGTAAGTATAATTAAAGATGAAACAGCTAAGATCGCGTGAAGACGAAACGGTAACATCATGTAGCTATATAGCCGCGAGACAAAAAGTTTACTGTTTCAAAGACAAGAAAATTCAAATTTAGCAGAGATAGCGAGAAATCTTACGCACGGTAAACAAAGACTAGTATAGGTATTGTGTAAAAAAAATAAAGTATTTCAGGGGATGTAGATGTATGTCAAGGATAAGAGAAATATGAATAAATATCAGGATTATTAGCTTTAACGAGTCGAGAGCGCGCGAAGCGTCTCTTCGCGATACACATAATTTCACTGTTCTCCGCGCATCGATCATATAGACGTATTACTCAACGAGTCGCATTAATCAAGGTAAAAAAGACTCGCGTACGGAGCCTGATTATGCTGTAGACGCAATGAAAGTTGATTACCGGCGTATATTATATGCCCGCGAAAATTACAGCGGGATCCTCGTCACCCCGGCAGGAACGTGCAATGAATCATTATCATTCGCTGCTTTATTAGTCATCTTCGCGTGGCATTTTATATTTCCATCGGCTGAAATCGGCTGACGCGAGGACCGTACGAATTTATGAGAGGTCACAGCGGATCTTTATACCGACTCTCTCGGAGGCTCGCGAGGAAGTTTCGCGAAACGACTTGACCGATAAGCAGCCGCCGCCAGGTAAGGAATTTAGAACGTGGCGGTCTCCGCGCGGGGTCTCCGCACCGTAATTCGCCGTACGTACCACAATCTGGCTTTCTAATGCATGTACGATCGGCAAATGATAGAGTCGAGCGTGCAAAACGTACCAACAATGTCGAGGCGGGTTTCGCTGGCCGCGGCGTTGTCATTAGAACGTCGGCGCGGCCAATTTTCCGCGCGCCGGGCAAAACGAGACAAATCGGGAGCACGCAGGTGCCCGCAGGGATCTCGGTTTCTCGCTAGGAATCACCTTTCACCGGGCTCCCCCTTCTCGCCCCGTTGCGACGCGGCTGCAGCCCGGCGTCGAGAACCTCTTTGACCCTTTTGATACGGTCATGGGCGGCGAAGTATTTTTTCCGGAAATAATTGCGGTGTAAGATTTTTTTTAAATTCTCTTTTAATTCTTTCTTCATATACATATTTTGGCCCGACTGATTATTTAGATCGATTCGATTGTTTTCCCTTTACTTGTATTTTCCCTCCTCTCTAAAAGTGAATCAGTGGAATCATCACTGATTGTCGGTGTATATCATTTTCCAGTGACATACTTAGAACTGTGATAAACAGTGACTATTTCAATGTCGCTTCAGTAGATAATATACTGATTTAAACAGTGAATATCATACAGTCAAATTCATTGTCTTTCAGTAATATTTATTGTTTAAATCAGTATATTATTACTGAAGTGACAGTTCTAAGTATGCCACTGGAAAATAATATACACTGGCAAGTGATGATTTCATTTTTAAAGAGTCTTCTCACGTAAAATCCTCTCATACAGATTTTTACATCCTAAAAGAGGCTTACACGTTTTGCAATCTTTGAGAATATTCTTAAATATTTGACATATTTTGATCCTCTTTTTTTGAAAGCACTCATTCTTGTTTAAATATTTTTAAGGATATTACTTAGAAGTAATATTTAATTCAAATTGCTGAAATTTTGGAAAATGATTTTACTTCTGACTGATAATTGCGACGCCTATGGTTATACCTTTCCTCGTGGGTACGCTCTATAGTTTGGTTCCGAGACGCGATACTCGCGGTACTCGTGGTGTACGGTATATTTTTCTCACATGCACGTGACTAATGAACATGGGATAGCTAGCATTATCGTACTTACAAAGTGCACAAGTAAGCCTAGAAGTACTTTCTCATGTATTTTTAGAGGTAGTTACCCTGAGAGAGTCTGACAAATATAAATAAATGTAATTGTTCTTCTTGCTTCTTAATTAATTTAATAATACTTTCTGATCAATTACTCTCATTCAAATTCAAATCTTACGACGAGTAATTCAAAAGTTCTTTCATATCTCGCCAAACTAATAAAATACTTCTCAAAACGAAGAAAGAAATGTGTGTACGGTGTATAAATAATATAAAAATGTTTTATAAAAGTAACAGAAATATAAGTAAAATGTTATATAAATATAACAAAAAATGAATTTTTATTTTGTACTATATAGAGATACAGGAGGAAATCTTCTGCGAGAGAAGAAAGCAAAGTTCTTCATTGAATGAAAAAAAAAATGTAAATTTTGTTTTCTTCTCGTTAACTGAACGGTGTATTTTTCAATACTTAGATAGGTGGGAACTTATTCTTTGCAGCAGTACCATCCACCGTTTACCATTCTAATGCTAATTCAGAATAGATTGCAGCGTTTAAAATGTTTCAAGGACACGGATCCCCACCTCTAAGGTCGAGCTTTGAACTGGGCACGTACCCATCGGCTCGATAACTCGGTCAGACCGTTATACGTTTGCCAGCTGAAAGCCTCAATGGAGCGCGGGCACGTTCGCGCAGCATCCTCCGTGACCCCTTATTTCTCCCGGTTATAAACACGAATTAAGCGGCGATGAGAATTGCTGATTTCCATCCTGCGCTCGCTGAATCGCACGGCTGTGAGAGGTGCCCGCGTCTTGTATTGGTGGTTAATAAGCTTGAGTTTAAGTGCGGCGTAAATCACTCCCGAGCGAATTCGCGATAGCCATCGCTTTTTCCGATGTGTTTGCAGGATATAGCCGCGGTTAAGGTAAAATTCATACATAGCGCGCAAGAAGCCGCCGTGCGATATATGTATATATATACGTTAAACGCTGGTGATCAAAGCCGAACGGACGGAGGTGGGTATTTACAAGCAAAGAGTGTAGAGAATGAAAGGCAGGAAGAAGGTGATGCGGCCAAAGCCCATTGAGGTCTTTCAGCACGCACGCATAACGGTCTGACCGAGTTACCGAGTGTTCGAAGAAGCGCCGACATATACCTCCCGATCGGACTTTTTCCTAGCGGTCGTGTTAGATTCTCCAAAAAAATAAAAAAATAAAAAAATGTCATTCTCGGAAGAAGTGTAATATTAAAAGAAAAGAAAATTTGAAAGAGAGAAAATTTCGGTCGCAGTTAGTATTATTATTATTATTTTCTCGGTCTGAGCGATTACTTTGTCGGCCAACAATGAAATAAAATATTCATTGTACCATGTGTCTCTTAATATACAATATTGCGAAGTATAATTATTTCTCAAGCGGACTTGAAAGAACGGAAATATTCGTATTACTCGAGAAGTCTATCGATTTCTCTGAATTCAAAACTCGCGGACTTCGTTTACTATCGAGTTTATCGAGAAGCATACTCAGCACGATTTTCCCTTTGCTGAAAGTCCCGATTCGCGCGGCGAGTCGCCGTAGCCGCTCGAAGACACCGTCCGACAGCATTCAAATCACCGTTCCGTAACAAATGTTCATTGTTACGTCAAGGATATGCGGCCTTGACCTTAGCTCTTACTCGCCTTGCCGAGACAAATTCTCAATACCGTGGGGAATCTGAATCAGACTAATACATATCATAAATATCATTTATGATATATATTAAATAAATATTATATAAATATATATTTAATTTTATATTATATTTATAGACTTTAACGTCGCACATGTAACTGTTTTTAAACCTGCTCACGAGAACTATTAGCAGATCGCGATGATTGCTCCAGTAGAAAGTAATGCGCGTTGTAAAAAAAAGAACTACATTACATATTAGAATATTCGTTACCCGAGGCCTTATTTTTTATAAAACCTTTAGTGTAACATGTCGTTCATGAATACGTAATTTTATTAAACTGGCATTTCTACGCAAATCACGCGTTCACCGTTAGAAATCGTACATTCACAGCGTACATTCTCCACTTCGTGAAATCGTATGCTGGACTTCCTTCTTTCGAAAGAATGCTACACGGTTACATACTATACAGTGGTTATGTTAAGGATTAAAGAAAACATGTAAATGTAATTTTGTAAAAGCCGTTTTACTATTAATGTCGAATTGATTTCATCCCAAAATAGGACAACACGATACCTATCTATGGTTATAATTGCTTATAATTCATTAATAAAATTGTTATGTTCTTTTCCAGTAAATTTATTGCTTTTATGTACTTCATTCTTCTTGTGAAATTGATAAGATCCCAAGTAGCAATGTGTTAGTTGATATAACTATATTTTATATGTTTCCTAAGTGTACACTTATAATGTGTTATAATTTATTTAATAAACTTATATATAAAACCGACATGTGCTACTTGGGACTTGTAAAGTGAGAAATTTCGGAAATTTTAACTACGCTATATCTATTCTTTCTAACTCTCAAAAGGACAGTAAGTATATATTAGTATTCTATTCCCGTTATAAAATTAAATTACTACGAAATTCTCAAAGATAAATATAATAAGATGTATATAAATGGCAGTAAGAATAAATAAATGTAAATGTAGGTAAGTGTAATAGAGAGAAGTATTATATACTATTATGTATGTAATACACAGCTGTGATAGTTGGATAGTAAAGAAATACACGCTGAAGGAATAAAGCCAAAGAATTTATATCAAAATTCAAGGTACAGATCAGGAGACACGGCAGTGGCTTGGTGTCATTATAGTTAGTACGCGAAAAGGATAAATGGATGAGTGTGGTTGACAAATTATTGTAAATTAAATCCTCCTCTTGGATTCGCTTATGTACATTAAAGTGAATAAATTCTATTCTGTTCTACTACGAAACTCAAGGAACTGAGGGAGATCGGTCCAACTTGGGCTGTTTCTCTTTTTAAGAGATTCTACTATGCTCCACTTAGGAATTAAGAAATTAATAATAATAAATGTTTTTGTAATGATAATTTTGCGAGTAACAGATCCTTCTTTTCTCTGTCTCCCTCTCTAAAATTTAATGTGTGATACGAAGTACAGTTATTTCCTTCCTTCGCATCTCGCTCTCGTCGTGTATACGCGGCGTGTGCGCCGAGCGTGATACACCAAGGTGAAGTGCACGCGCCTACGAGGAAACGCCATTCATTCGGACAAAGCGGCGAGTAGCCGCCGATCGCACTTCGCAGCCCGCGAAACGGCGGTTCATGCACCGTGAACACGCGCGTCCGTCGCGTCGCGTCCCGCGATCCGTGATCGCGATGCGTTACCGCGCGCGCGGGATAATTTCACGCCCGCCGGGCCGCCGATTGCCGGTTAACCGTGGAGTAATTGCGTTTGCTCGTCCCGCGGTACCCACCCCTCGGCGCGTGTACGCAAGAACGGCGAGTGAAAGCGGCCGTGTAGCGCTTGCGTGACGAAAATGTCTCGGTTCAGTGAAATGCCCCCGCGGATAACACGCGCGTATTTAAGATAAACGTTATATGTATCGCGCGGCGTGTAGCCCGGGATCGTAACAGCGCAGGAGTTAACGGCGATTGGTACACGCATCACGTTTCGAATAATGCACGATCTATCATCGCTAATGTGCGGGCAATTAAATCGTTCGACAGAAACGCTTACTTTCTAAGGAGAAGAGCATCGCTCTCGCGTCGAGCAACGATCTCTCTACGGTACAATAACTTTATAAATTTCGAAAACTGATGTGTATTCCAAGTGTCTGGCTTTTTCTTGAAGAATTAAAAGAAGAAGATAGATTATAAAGACGGATCTCAATCGAAGAGTGTTCTCGAAAATATGAAAACTGACATTAATCTTAAATATTTTATATTAATTAAAAAAAAATCATCCTCATGTTGCGATATAATGCTCTAATAATCGTACTAACAAATTAAAGACTGCTTAGTAAGCCATATATTAGCTTTTAAATTAAATTGATTTTATAAAAAAACATTTGTTATAATTTTATATCAGAAAAAATTCTTTATTCATATAAATTCAATTTATATAGTTATTTAATATTATAAAGGCTGCACGGAGAGAATTTTCTTTTAAAATTTATCCTGAAAATCATGTTAATTGTGAAACAATATAGTATTTAGATAAATTTTACTGTGCACTACAATAAATTTTACTGCGAAATCTTATTGTAGTGCACAGTAAAATTTGCCTAAATACTATATTGTCCCATAATTAATATGATTTGCAGGATAAATTTAAAAAAAAATTCTCTCCGTGTGCTTTCAGTTTTTTACTGTGAGTACTGAAAATTTATGATATACATAACGCATAAACCATATATTTTCAGTACTCGCAGTGAATAACGGAATGCGGCCAAAATTTGCATAAGCATGAACGTCAATTTATTGTTGAAATAGAAAAAAGGAAACGCATGTCGGAGATTGTATTGGTAATGATGTATCGTCATACGTTCCATATAGTGGAGATATCGCATCAAAAGCAAGATATTCGTTTGAGCAATGTTTTTATCTAGAATTTTACTTACAGAGTTTACTTAGAAAGTTATGTTATGTTAGAGAATTATGCTACGTTCTAAACATGTCTTTGAACTTCTAAACATGTCTTTGAACTTCTAAACATGTCTCTGAACTTTCACGGTGTTAATGCAATTTCTACAGCGTGTACTTACAACCGAGGTATATCGAGACCCCCGAGAAGAGGAGGAAGAATAAGAAGGCGGCGAGGACGCAGCATCCGCAGCGATACTGTCCGCCGAACTTTCTCGTAAAGCGGATGTCGCTGTCGGATGACAGAATCGAGCTTGGTGTTCCGGCACGGCTGAATCTTCGGGTGCTCACCGTGCTCACCGAAATCTGCGGACAAAAAATGTACGCGTATTTTACACTGGAGATTTTAACTGATACCTCAATTACGTCTAAAATAAAGTATAAATATGTTACTTAAAGTGACAAATGGATAATACTTTAGAATAACCGCGGATTGTACCGAACATTAAACATATATGACTCAGAAAGCCTGAAAACACTATGTTTACAGATTCATGCCCGGCAAAAAAATTGAGATCAATTAACAAAATTTTTTAATTATATTTCTATTGAATAAATGAATAAAAATTAAGAAAAAGATTAATAATATAATCTAATTGTTTTAAGCAGGGCATGGAAAATAAAAGCCTACTTTATGATCTATAATATATTAATTCAAGATGAAATTTTATTTATAACTTTATATTTTGGTGTATGTGATATTCTGTTTTCTGAAATGATTTTTATATTGTAGGCCAAACAAAAATTATAAACAGAATTTTGTCATAAATTATAGATGTATAGAACTTGTCTAGACGAGTTTAATACAGAGACTCAAGTAGAAATGAAAAGAAAAGAAAAATTATTAAATCGATATATAAGAACCTATTAATCATAAGAAACAATCAATCACAAAATTTCAAAGAAATCAAAGAGCTATAAAAATGGGGCATTAATCATGATAATCATCGATCTCTCGCGTCAGTCACCTTATGACTGCTATCTTTAATAGGAAATGCACAACGTAAGCGCGAACCGGCGTCTATATTATAAGTATCTATATTTCGTGCGCTTCCCATGTATTTGAAGAGAATATTTTCTGTAATGAAATAAAGCCTTAGTAATAGCATTACGAAAGCAAGATTGCTTAAACTATTCAGTAAATAATAGTGGGCGGCGTCTTTCTCCGCGCTGATGAAACATTCCGCTCCCTCGTGCCATCAATGAATTTTTACCAATCCGAAAGTACGGGGATTACCGTGACTCCTCATTGCGAAACGAACTGCATTAACGATCGCATCACTTCCGTCTCAGAGTCGAGACACAGCGACGCGCGATCCGAGCCGATTTAACCGCAAGTTTGCGCCACATAGAACGAGTTATGTAAAGAAATTAAAGTTACGTTTTCATTGTTGTTGGATAAATTTCAACATGTAAAAGAAAAAAAAGATTTGCTTCTAGAAAGACGGAGAAGTTGATTCCTGCGTCTACAGTTGAAAAAATGAAATATTTGTGGCTTTAACTCTTCAACTTCTCCCGCTAATCGTAAATCCCGTGCGTCAAATCGTATATTGGAGATTGAGGATTACAAATTAGAGATTAGAATTTTTTGATCAGTCGAATAATTTGAATCCATTTTCATTCTATGATTGGCTGAAATCTAATCTCCACTCGCAATCCTCAATCTCCAATGCATAATATGACATAGACTTAACTGCGTGACGCGCAACAGTATATTGACTGAACCATGCGATCGACACGCCTGGCTGACGCGTGCGAGCGTGAATCCGCGTATATTCGTCCGAGAAACCCAAGAGGGTCTCTCTCGCTCATGAATAAATTATTTAAATTTAAATAGCATCCGTCTATTTAATCGCGTTCCCCGTCGCGTACGATGCACCTCCGCGCCCGGCTGCGGCGCGGCGCGCGGCCCACAGTAAGACATAGTGCACCGCGACGCCGTGCCGCCGCGTGTGCTACGCCTCCGCTCCGTTCGCTCAAATGCTACGCCCGGCACACGCTCCGGCGCGAAGGATCGCGCCTGTGCACTACCAGGATGGGCAAGCGAGAGAGCGCCTGGATTACGGGTTGCTTTTCGCGCCGCGCCAAAGGTCGTACAGGACTAAAGGCCAAAACCCCGCGCCTAAACGGCTAAACGAGAGCCGTTTTACTCGTCGTACAGAAGTTCCGGATAACGCAGAGTCTAAAATTGATGCATAATGCGTGTTTTAGACGTATTTTAGACGTATAAATTTTAGACATTTCTGCGAGAACTATCTGAAGGATGTCTAAAAGACATCTTAAAGTCTTACGCGTCAATTTTAGACTTTGTATTGTCTGCAGGGATGTGCAATGAACCGCGTTTTTTCGCGTGTCGCGCTGATACGCGTCGAGCTTGATAGTGTTGAATTGCAGTGATGAAAAATATGGGTGTCCTTAATGACGTGATTTTGCGTTAAAGACGAACGGCCAGAGCGCGGGTAACGATCTAAAACGTTAAGTAACAGTAGTGGATATTCGAACTGACGTCCGTGAGAGTCGACCGATTTTCTCACGCGACCCGGTGCCACACACATGGGAACCATGTGTTTTGTGTTTAGACACAAACACGCGCATTACATAGCAGCTGGCGAACGAGATGCTATCTCTCGAATTCTACCTTCAATCACTTCCGCGGCGCGATTCACGCCCGAGCAGCCATTATCTAATTAAGGCGAGTCAAACCGATACGGATACACACGCCTGCGTCTAATTGCCGGATATAGGTTTATTAAACTATGTCAAAAGTATGCCACTCAATCGCGCGATTCGTTACACCTATGTACTGTACTATTTATCGAGGTGTATTGAGTAACTTGAGAGAAGTTAGAAAAAGATATTAAATGGAAAGCAATTAAACTGCGATGATAAATCGTGCAGCAAAATTTTAAAGGAGAATCATTGAAGTATGAAAAGAAATTTGTGTTCGTATGCATACGTTAGCTGCAAAAAAAATTATAATTAATTTACGGTCTCTGTGTATCTCGCGTATGAGATACGCACAAAGTTACTGCAGTGGTTCAATATTATATAGCTTCCCGGCGAGACCGCAAAACCGCGATCGTAGAAAAGTTCCTTGCACTGTCGTTACATAAGAGCGACTTACAAAAATGTTGGGCCCCGCATGCCCGTTATGAAACCGTGCAGCGATAGCACGACGAACTGGGTGCGAGAAGTTGCCTTTCGTTCGTGGATATCAGTTTCGCGAACAATGCACTGGACTGTGCACGATTTTTACTTGCTCCGCATGATCGGCTCTGATGTAATATCACAATGCTATTGAAAATGGCAAGCGCTGCAAACGCTATATTTCTCAATTCGATCTCCGCGCTCGCATAATTCGTAGCGAGAAAACCATAGTATAAGATACCGTACGCTTGGAAATAATTTAAAGTTGAGTCAGGAATTTTTCATGTGAATAGCAAATAAAAATAGTAATTTTTACGAGACCATCAGGCGTCTCAAAAGAATTCCTTCGATCGTATTGAAACGCGTATAAAAAATAAGATGAGTAATTATACCCCTAAACATTATTTTCAGAAAAAACAATTTTAAAAAATGAGATAAATAACATATTTATGCCATATATGTTTTAGCAATGCTATTGCAGTATAGATTGCTTGTTGTAATGTCTAGAGCGAGTCGAAGCTAAGAGTTACTACTATTTCGTTTGATCGTTATGTAAGATTTACGATAGCGACAAAAAGATCAACTTTGGCGAACAATGGTGCGAAAGACATTACGAAAGTCAAATGAAAGTTCGCGTTACTGTCTTTGCGCTGTTCTATACCCTAGTTCGGCAACGTTTCCGCTGAAAAGTCTTTCTCATGCACACGACACATGCATTGCCGAGGCTTAATTCCGAAGCGAAAGAAAAAGCCGGAAATCAAGCGTAACCAATTTTCCTTCTACGACAAACAAAAAGGACTGACCATGCGTTTGAATGAATGCGAAGTAAAAGTATCTGATGATTCCCCGAACGCCAGTAAAGCGAAAAGGTCAAAACGATCTTCCGTGAAGAAAGAAACCTTTACGTCGAAAGATAATCGTTCGCGCGAAGGGAAGATAATATATAATGAAAGGCAAATTATAATGTTAAAGTAAGAATATAAAAAATTATATTCCCGAATATATGTTTTACTTCTAATTTTAGTCAGGCAGTAAAAATCCGAAATATTTCAGCTTCATTTCCCACAATTAAAAATATGTTTCTTTAATTTTTTCTTTAATGAAAAAAAATTCCGGACGCGCGCATTAATGTGCAACAATTTATTCGAAGAACAAAATCCGTGAGCGGACGACCACGTTTCACGTTAAATACGGGACAAGGCGAATGCGGACTTCCTCCACCGAATCGAGCCTGTATTCCTATAAAACGGTCGTTGCCGCGAGAAACGTACGCGAGCGTCGTTAGTGATTTATACTCGCGGATCTGTAACAGCGCAAATAAACAAAGCCATTATCTCCGGGAGGCTGCGTAAAAAGGAGAATGCAAATTCTCTCGAGTAAGATCGACGCGGTTGACCGCGGTTGCGAGTTTCATGCCGATCCCGATAATGGGCCGTTTCGCGCTTGAGACGAGCCGATCCGATCTGGTAGACGCACCAGATTGGAAAGTAGAATTCAGTGCGGATAAACGCGCAGCGCCGCTCGGTAGCGATTGCAGGAAGAGATTAAAATACGCTCGGGCTGACCGGCGCGTTTCGAGTTCTTCCGTTTAACAGATGCGGTCAGTGACTTCAAGGCCGAGGAAAAATTAGGCTCCGGCCGATAGAAAAAAAAAGGTGCGTTTTCGCGGCCAGAAACTTTCGTGAAAGTTCACGTGGCCGCGTCTCGTCGCGCGGTAACCGGCAAACTGTCTCCGGTATACCGTATCGGACGTCGCTATAATAATAGACCGATGCGTAATGACCGTTGTAAACGCTGCCGAGCCATTGAACCGCTCTCTTACCGATGAGTAAAGATTGCTTCCACTCCAAAATGAGAAGCTACGTTCGAAATTTACGTCCCCCGTGAAACCGCGCGTAAAGAGAAACCTCGGGTTTATGTAAAAATTAATAGCTAGAGAAAGAAACGTTTCTACATAATCGTCGAAAAGATGATTCAGATCAGATATTAAGATACGAGGAAAATATCTCGCAACGGTATCTTAATGATTCCAATTTATAGATCATTATTTAGAAGAAAGCACGAATTTTTTTCCTCATCTTTGAATATTCACTGTTAAATCTATAGTGCCTACACGAATATTCACTATTAAATCTATAGTGTCAAATTTAACCCTAAGTCGCCACTGCTCCTACTTAATATTTTATTTTTAAATAAAACAATGTAATTTAATCTAAATTTTGGTTAAATTTGAACTGTTTTAAATTATTTAATTCCATTATTGATTTAGTTAAAAATAACTATTTATCAAGTGGGAGCAGTGGTGATTCAAATAAGGTTAAATTTGACACTATAGATTTAACAGTGATGTGCAAGTAGAATTGATCGTATAAGCGTTCAATGGTATAACAATAATGTAAAAAGAGCGACGACCCCTTCTTGCCGACAGAAAACGTGTTGACTGTCAACCGTGAAAAGAATCAGTGTCGATGACCGGCGAAAAGAATCTGTAGAGCGTCATCGAAGCTACTGTTCTCTCTCGTGACTTTCTTGACCGTTATAACCGTTATACCAAACGTCAAGCCACCTTTCCAAAAGAGCAAGAGAATCTAGGAACGAGTTTCTGTCTGTCTTGAATTACAATCCGCTCAGTCATACTGTCCACGTAGTGACAAGTAAGCTCCCGGCGGAACGTGACGCTCAGCAAAAAGCAATCGTGAAAAAAAATGACAGTCGGAGTTGATCTCCGATCTGCAATCTGTCGTCTTCGTCATCGAGATAATCCGCATACGTATACAATTATTTTAAATCGCTTCATGCCATTCCAGAGTTCAGTTATGTGGCTTGAACAGATGATTCTGAAGATGATCTTCAATGTGCACAAACGATAATTTTTTTATTTAAAATTAAAATTATTTATCTGTAATTAAATTATTGTGTTTAATTATATTAAAATTATAACATTTCCATTTATATAATAGCGAAATTTCAGAAATGTTTTTAGAAGGAAAAAAAGAGAAATTGCGAAATGGAGAATTTAAATTGAATAAAAAATTGAAGAGATGATTAAAAATTAAGCTAAAACATGTAATTTAATTTTTTGTTTTTATTAAACGCTCTATATATTGACATATTATTTATTCTGCGCACTAATTTTCGCGTTTCATTCTTACATACCCTTTTTTATTTTGTTATTTTAACTGGCAGGAGTCGTTATTATTTTTATTTGAAGAATTCAAAGATGAGCAGAAATGTTATCGATGATGTCATCACTAACTTAACTTTTATCATTGAATAGATAGTGCGGAGAATTCACCAACATGAAACGATCGACATGCTTTTCAATACTCAATCAGACACTTGCCATCGATCATCTGATTTTGACGCCGGCGCGACGACCAACGGGCGTCAGGCGTCACGCGCGATTTTTAAGAATACCAAGCTCGCGCGGATCGGGTGTCCGCGAAGTAACGGTATCGGGGATAGAACAGATGACGACGGCCCAACCCAGAAGCGACCCAACCCACCTAACACATCGCGCTCTCCATTCCGGTCAGCCTAGTTCCTCGATCGTCAACGCGCCGCCGCGCCGAGTGCGTAGGTATCCGCCTGGCCAAGGGGGGTCATTGGAGAACAAGGTCAATCGGTCTGGAGATGAAAACCAGATGGTGATCAAGCTCCCGCGAGTGCATGGGGCCAAGGTGGACACAATCGATCGCGTGTAAACTCGACGCTCGCAATTAGTCTCCTGGCAATTAGTACTACCGATGAAGAAGTCTCGTTAATTTGCTCGATGAACAATGAACGTTATCGCTTCAATTAAACGTGCACGCCGAGCGCGCAATGCGCACGAGTTCCATCGCGCCGATTTCCTTTTCGAAAGGCGAATCATTGAAGCGAATCATTGACGACAAACTGAAGAATCATTTACAAAAGAGTTATTGGAACCGATCGTCTTTCGCACTTGCGAAACGACGTTGCGAAAAGAGATTGAACTACCAGAAATATCTTCAGATTATGTATAGATACTCGTCAGAGTTGATAGAGAACAAAGTTCAACGAACCAGCGGAACCTTGGCTTTTAACCAATTCACGACTCGTTATTGCATTTTATGCACTCGGTTGTCCGACGAGTTTCGAGTGCATGGTTTTACATAATTTATCGTCGGTGAAAAATCGCGTCCAAGATAATTCGATGGTCGGCGGTAACGAACGCGACCGCAAAAATAATCCGTATGCGGATTGTATCAACTTGCTAACCACAAATCGTCTCGACGTGTCTTGCCTTTCAGTCGTTTGCATGCAACGCTTCAGTCAAAGTCGACGATTTATTTCCAGATAAAAATGCCCAGATCTCGAAATATTTCTCAATATACTAATCAATGATGTACATTATAAAATATATAATATATAAAAACTAAAATCGTTATACATTATTATTGCGCTGAAGAAAAGTAACAATGCAACAATTTTGCTAAAATCGTGAGCATTTAATTAAAATTAAATAAAAACCGCAAATAATAAACATTGCAAAGTACCAACGACTGTACGGAAGAACGATTTTGGAAAGTCTAAAATTATATACATTTGAGAATAATTCTTATTGAACTATCAAAATAATTTTGCTGGGAAATCAAATTGATTGCTTGAATATGAAAACGTTTTACAACATTTATCAGTTTTTAACAAAATTATTTTCAGAATAATGCCAAAGAAGGCCTTTGACCTTCCAGCAAAATCGTTCTTTCTGTGTGACAATGAGTAAACTTGTGTACGCGCGCGAGTTCAAGGTTGATTTTCCTTCTCGCAACAATCCCGTTAGCCTTTCGATGGCCTTTGCATCGCTCTGTAGTGCAGGAAAATTAATCGGAATAATTAATCGAAGGACGAAGGTAGGCATCAACGCTCGATGCGACTTTCACCGAAGTTACATTGTGCGCGACTGATTCATACGGCACCGTTTTCTTGTACGGCGCGGCGGCTGGAAGATCTCACTCCGGCGGGAAGAACAAGAATTAATCTCGTTTTATTTCATGAATAAAAAAAAATAGATATTATAATGTTATAGAGAGATGCCGTGAGAGTTGATTAAATTAATCAGAATTGCGCTTTCTCGCCACGGGCAATACACCGGACTCAAATGTCAGCGGCGAGTTATGGGAGCGATTATGTTTATCCCGCAATTGTTCCACCGTTCCATTCTGCAGCATCATTTCTGGATAATAGAAGAGGGCGGGCACCTTATCCGCGAAATGATTATTTGCAAAGCCAGCCACGAGACGGAAATATGACGTTGTGTCGGGCAACAAAGCAACATTATGCCATTTCGCGTTCTCCGCTCGCACAAGACCTCTCCCAAGCAAAACAACAGGTCACGATAACGTCAAAATGACGTTAAAATGAATCGTGACTGATCGGAAAGTGACTTTTAATAATCATTTCGATGTCATTCTGATGTCATGATGACTTTTTGCTCCATGCTTATAGGCTTCTAAAATTTAACACTTGTGGAAATGTATTATATAAATATTATATTGGAATAGTGAAAAACTATTGGAACAAATAGTGTACAATTTTAATGATTTTCTAATTATTTCTAATTGCTTTTTTTTCCGCGAGTCTAATAATATTTTATAAGAGTAAATTAAGCGGAGCAACAAGTCATAGTATCAAATAATGTTAAAATGAATCATAACTGATCGAAAAGAGATTTCTAATAATTATTTCGAAGTTATTTTGACGCCATTTTGATGTCGTGATGACGGTTCGTTCTGCTTGGAATAAGTTCGAACGAAGGTACAATACGCGTTGGTGCAGCTGTAACGCGCTTGGGAGTGCGCATCACGTTTGAAACGTTCGCCCGCGCAGAATTTATCATGAATTATCTATCCCGAGGCTCCGTTAGAACGTTGGAAGATCGATCCGAGGAAAGTATCTCGGAACGCTCGCCGTAACTCGTATATAACTTCGCTTTGCGTTAAACAATGCATTCCTCCGTGTACGATTCATAACACCTCGCCGCGTCTCCGCCCGATGCCTCGCGCCTCGGAGTCGCGACGGTGTTTTCGCACGAGGGCCCGGATCCTCTAATTAATAACGCGACGCGTATAATGAAGAAAGCAACGGAGAACGAAGGGAAAGTGCGCCACATATTCGAGGAGTCTCACCTTCGAGTCCCACGAGCTCTTCCGCTTGTGCTCCATCGCGACGGTCATTTTTTTCTTCTGTCTGCGATCGCGCTCCCGCGCTTAACGTCAGCGCTCCTCCAGAACTTGGCCGGCTCGTGGAGTCATCGCGGATTTTTCTTTTCCTCGCGAGCGTGTGCGTATCAATGGCGACCACGGATGACCATGCGAAGACGATCTCTCAATTGTCCGTTTCCGTTTTTTCTTTCTTTTTTTAAGAACCGCAAACCTGAATATCGGCAAGATGCATCTCCCGTACGCCTTTGCGCTTTCCGCCTCGGAGATATCGGCGTCCCGTGCGCTGTAAAAAGAGAGAACGAATACTTAAAGAGACTCGTGCAATTATATTCCTCTAGGAAGTGTCGGGATTTATGGATCAATTTTTTTTTTCTTAATAAATGCACGCCGATCGCCGTGCGTACGGTGCGTATTGTGACGGGAGCGCATAAATAATACGATCGGTCGTTTACCGCTGTTGAAACTTCCGCTTGGCATGGAGTGCCGTTCCTCGGCGTTTTCTCAGCAAGTCTATATTTATTGTTTTTTATAACCATCTTTATTGAAGCTAATATTCATTAATTTGAAAGCCGTAATATAGCTTAATAAAGTTTAATGATAGTTTCAAAGTTTCATATTGAAAGAGTATATAATGTAGTAATGGACTTTAATTGAAGAGTAGAAGCATATTAATTTCGTTAATATAACTGTATGCTTTGAAACAGAATTTTTCTCACGCATTCTTTTTCGTTGATAATGCAATTAAAAGAAATTGTTTCCATATGTCACGTAATATTTTTAAATACTATCGTGAGAAAAGCATTAATCGAATTAATGCAAATTCGTAAATAAGCGAAGAATGCCATAAATTCTGAGAATTGCGCATTCAAAGTAATTATAACATTTATAATTTTTAAACACATTTAGTTTTTTCATTATAAAATAGAACAAGAACTGAGCAATCTGACTGAATTGTAATTATTAAAACGTATATTAGAAGCTGCTTAGAGAAAAATCTGTCTTAACATACGGTTTAAATAACCGCGGCGTACAATCAAATAATAAAAGAAGGACTTATGCAAGTCACACTTGATGATTGATATACCTTCATGTATAAAACATCCTCTTTAGAACTAGCTAATGCAATGTGTGTATAATGTAACGGTTAAGGTTAATATATACTAGATTTATCTTATAGAATCGGTGAACGAATCTTGAGAGAAACACGATTCCTTTAATCTGATCTGTTCTTGCTAACATTAGTCTCAGTTTTAATCTTTCCATAATTAAAGAAACGCCTTCACGTAATTCACATAAGTATGTATCATGCTTGAACCATAGAACGTCAAATAAGCGATGCAATTTTCATAATTTCTCGTATGAATATATCAACAATCGCAATTTAAATCGACCGTATCACACATAATATACGTTTAGAATACAACAAATCGGAGGTTTTCGTTGTGTCCCATTTATGTCGTACCTGAATCGTCGAACAGTCGCGCAGGTGAAATTCCGTTTTCAGTTGACAGCGTCACGTTTCTCACAACAAAAAGAAAAGGAAATCCGTCGAAATCACCTCACTCGAAAACTGTATGTCCGGAGTAGGGGGACCACCTTCGAACACGCGCGTGTCCGGAGAACAGAAAAAAAAAACAAACGCTCGGCAGCTGCGGCGAAAATGCAGCACACTCGAGGAAAAGGAGGCGACTGTACGACCGCGCGAGGCGAACGAGACGTTCGCCACCTCGGTCAGGCGAGCACTTCGATCGTCGAGAGGCAGACAATTTCTCCGAGCCGGCCCCGGCCACGATCCAGGGGATTGTCCTGGACGAGGCGAGACTGCCAGGAGAACGGCGGCCTGCGGCCCGCCTGCCTGCCTCCTCGCTCCTCGTGGATGCACTTTCACGTCATTACCGGTTCTCCACGGGCGCCCGTGTGCGCCGCACGAGGAGGGCACAGTTACGGACAGTAGTGCGGTCCGGAGCAAGGACGTCTCTCCCTCGTCTCTTCTTGACCCTCCTCGGCCCTTCCTTGCTTCTCCGTTCTTGTTTACATCTCTCTTTAATTTCCGATTTTGCTCCGTCTTTGATTTTCCTCCGTTCCTCTCTATACATAGGTATACGAGTTCTGCGCCCTTTCATTTTGGGCGCGTTTTTGATCCCGTTTCTGCTCTCTCTCTTTCTCTCTTCCGCTTTCTATTTATAGGCATAATTGTTTATCGGCCTTTACATTTGTACTTTTCTTCAAACTTCCGTCCTATTTATTTTCTTGCTTTATACGTTAAGATCTGTTATACCTTTTGTACCATCTTTCCTTCTCCATTCGCGGCTACTCGTCTTCGTTTATCCCGCTATCTTTTGCATGACTTTGCACTCCGCCGCTAATTGTGCTGTGGATATTACGGGCGACAATACGCACTGTTCGATGTGTCGGAAACGTCTAACGGCAAATCTCGTGCAGGTGCTTGAGACATTTAAAAGAGACAACCGGCGCGCGGTGTCGCAAGTAAAATGAACTTTTTGATCGGACGTGAAGTTTACGGTAATTTACTCCCACGGTATATCTCAAGCTGGGGCACGACGTGGAATTGTTCTGGAGTGGCGTATAGTGGATGCACTTTCACGTCATTATCGTCGGTGCCCCAGTCGGCATACATGTGCGCAGACACGTATATAGTATTTAAGCAAGATATACCGTTTCAGATCTCATAATGGGACTACAAACGAAATTAAATCCTTCAATGTTATCGCGTGTATAGAAGATACCTCGTCGCCGAGTTGTATTTCTTCTTGCTTTCCATTATACTGAATATCCTGATATTTACTTTTTTTTGCATATCGTGTACATATAAAATCCATTGATTTATTACAAATACAATTATAAGCGTTTCTATTTTTGAACAAAAACATTAAACAAGATTTATATATATATATGTATATATATATATATATTGCGACCTACTTTAATATAAAAAATAGCTTGGAAAACACTTGCTCTGCTTGGAAAGGAAACGAGTCTTATAGAACGGAAAGATATTTTTTGATACACTACATTGAGCAAAGGCACTTATTAGTGCAAGTTATTTTATTTCAAGGGTAACAAGACAGGTTTCGGAATCTGTGCAACGAAATTAATATGCATGTTTTCCGTCATAGATTCCACGGTGATGCATTAAATTAGATGTAACAAAAAGGAATCGGATATTTTTTTCACTCTCTCTGTTGAAATAGATATTTTTATGTCATTATTCGATAATATCAATAGAATATTATTATAAAATAGGCAGTAAAGTTCACTGTAATTCGTATTAAAATATAGGGGAGAATATAGTTTATAATTTTATGCGTGAATACGAAAAACATTTAAATAATATATGTATATGAAAACAAATATATCGAAATACATGGCACAAATGATAAGATAAATGCAAATATAGAGATAAGGATACATAAAAAATTTGAAAAACAATTTTATCTTAAATATATCTTATCTGACCCCATTAGAGATTTTTTAAACATAAATGTTAGAATCACTCACGTGCACAATATAAGATATTTTCGTGTATGACTTTTGTTGCGTGTAATGTTTTCATCGCTGATCTCTTAAGAATTACGTCCAGATGAGAGCCTATACTTGATGCTTCTATTATATTGATTCAATTTCGCGTTCGGACATATCTGCCGATTGCTCTGACTCTATTACGAAAGCAACGGTAATCCGTGCGTCTCTAATGAAACGCAAATACAGGAGGTATACACTCTCGCAAATAGAAACTACGATAAACCTTACTTAGATAGGAATTCAACCGTGAAGATTACACTGTACCGTTACAAAACACTTTATTCTTTGAATAATATACACTTAAAAAAATATTTAGTAATATATGATTCTCATTAACGAATTGGTATTAAATGGTATTGATGGCACATGTCTTAGAATTTTTCCACAAATCTTTTATCCGCAGTAATTTTTAATGTATCTTAATATTTCTGCATTATTAGTAGACTACAGCTATTTTACATTCTAACTGCAATTAATTAAATGATATATTAATCAATTATGTATAATTATATATATATGTACGATTATATATAATATACTAAATTCTATTATAATTGTAATTTACTGCTAATTATAAAATTAGTATTTCAAATTATATAATTAATAATGTAAATTAATTGTATTTATTATCAGTCTTGGTACCAAAAAATATATTTTAAAAGAATATATTGCTAACAAAAGGTATTCGTCATAAACAGACAATTTGTATTATTCAATGCAGTTTCAAGTATTTTTTACCGTGCATTTTAGAATATCGAAGATTTTAAGCTGAACCCTACCGCAGTTATTTTAAGTCACGAAAATATACCAGGACAAAGAATGTGGAAAGACGAGTTGAAAGAGACTAAAAAGAATACTAAAGACGCGATAACAAACAGACTTACCAGCCTGCGAGGGACGGAGACTTAATTCCCAAAAATCCAGCAGAACCTGCGCTTCAGGGACACCAGTTTTTATTCTTGAGAAATAAAAAAAACTTTTTTTTTACAAAATTCGGTCACTGTCCGAGAAAATTCACGTCGATCCGTCTCCCCATCACGCGAAACGCTGCCTTAACTTTTCGCTCGAACAGGAACCTTCGGCCGACAGCTGCCCGGAAGTGGCCGCTTCGACGGGCAGACTGATTCTTAACGCGCCTTCCGAAGAAACACGGCTCCTCGAGGGACGAGCCTCCGTTCCTCGTGTCGCGTTAAGAAACAACCGTTAACGTGGGATACGCGCGAGTCTTCGAAGCGGCCGCGGTGTGTATGCGGCGTATATGCCGCGCGAGAGTCGACCAAGCGATTGATGACCCGACGGGTGCCGTACGTGGCACCCTTCTCCAATCTCGGAAGAGAAGAAAACGAAGACGGTCTCGCGACAAATTGTACGTGTCGACGTCGTGTGACGTCTTATCCCGCGACCACAGCGTGCGCCTCTCGCCAGGCCTGGCGAGTGAAAGTCCTCGCTGAAATTATTATTCCTGCAGCATATTAATATCAAAGTGGACGATCCTTATAAATGTTCACGTACGGCCGATGACCGTACTCTCGAGTATCCCGTCATTTGCGAAATCTTCATCGATGTTTCGATTTATAAACCATCGCTTTCTCGAATAAGTAGATGTTACTTCTATCTAAAATAATTCAAGATTTATTTAGGTACTTTAAAAAGCTTATGCAAGAATTATTTTGTTGCACAAAATTACGTAATTGTATTACCTTGCAATTTCTAAAAGTGTCATGCATCTTAGACGATCTTATACATAATCATCTCTATTAAAAATAAAAGATTGTAATTACACGACCTCCATCGTTAATTGGCGCAACTTGTGGTATCTATTATAAAAACAGGAGCAAAGAAGCATCGATCGCTTAATTATGTTGTTTATTTGTATAGACAATTAAACGATACATATACATGTGTGTACGAATTACATGTGTCTTACTTAATTCTAATACATCGATATAATGTTTATATGCTCGGGTGAATGATTCGTATTAGGCGATTACATACAGGCGATACATTTTCTTGGGTTCGATATGGATTAGCGAAATGTTTCACTTCCCGTTTTGGCGAAACGCGAACGTGGACTATAGGAAGATGTCAACTATAACGCGAACTAATTGATCTTTTATATTCGAGGACGGCTTCTCGCGGACCGAGAGATGGTCAAGACACGATAGCCGTCAATCGATATTACTTCATGTATCAAGTCGATATAACTTCAAAAATAAAAATTATAAATGCATAAAAAAGTGATATTTTCCGATAAATTTCCCGAGCGTCATTTAATTACTTATTAAGATGCATCGTATATCTTAAGGTACACTATTCGAATACAGTCGAACATCCTGTATTATAAATCCGGGATACCAAGCACTATGCGATCACTTGGCGCGCCATTCATCTAACAACAATCGACGCTCGGCTGAATGCCGACCACAAATCGGCAAGTAAATAACTAAAAAAAAATAAAGAGAAGAAAGAGAGAGGGGGGCATAACAGGGTCATTTTCATTGTATGTGTCATTCTATCTGTCACTAAATTAAAAAATTGCGAAAAATGCAAAAATAAAAATAAATGCGAATCAGGAAAGATAGGGACGAGTTTTCTTTTTTCTTACTTGGACTCTCGACGAGTCCATAACGCGGACATTCAACTGTAGCGCTCGGATAATCGAGGCTCTACTATGAAAGTTCGCTTAGTACTGAAAAAAAGGGCTCCTGCTTTTTGAGTTTTTCGCTTGCTGTCGCTCGTGAGATCGATAATGGCACGGATTCAGAGATCGGTGTCGTACCAGGCCGCGACCTGGTTGTTGTCTTGCGGCGGTGCAGGAAGCTCTTCCAAGTGATCGAAACTCAAGTCACCATCGTGTGCGACGTCCATAGTGTCCATTGCGCCATATGTCGATCCACCACCTATCTCTAACCCCTGCATCGAGTCTACTGGTATCTGGTCATAACCTGTTGCGAGGAAAAATATTTTTTTTCTTTTTACAAAAAAATCCATTGCTCTCCGTCCGGCAATTACATCGATAAAAATTGCACACTGCACGCGAGTGCAGAAATCTCATCAATGAAGCATAATTTGCGAAGTACTTTGGCAGTCTTTTAGCTTTACAAGAATAAATAGTTTGCTATAAGTCTTCAAATGACTACATCTTTTTTTTAATAACTACCACTTTTAATCAATTTATATGATTATTTCATAATTATAACGTAAGATATCGTATTTAATTATTATATTTACTTATTAATTAATTTATGGTACATTTTTCATCAGAAATCTTTGTCAATATCTTTGCATGATAAAAATTATTTTGATAAAAAAGCTACTTTAATAGTATTAAGTAATCAGATAGATATTTCCAGAATAAATATATACATATTTTTAAAAAAAACTTGAATCTTTTTTGTTTCAATTACTAGGGACAAAATAAGCGATACAATAGCCACGTAATATTTGAAGCTCGATGTGCCACATGCCACCGTGTGATGAAACAAATAGAAAAAAGTGTTAATCTACCAGCGTTTTCATTTATATTTTCACGAAATTCATGACAAATATTTATAATACTTCCTTTTGGAGAATAAACTACAAGAACGTTCTTTTATTTAATTACTTACAAATCATCCTCCCGACTCCTTCATCATAAAACGCGTATTATAGGGGAAATAAATAATAAGGAAAAAAATATTTGCATAATAACGTAAGCATGCGTGAAATTAGTGTTTTACATATATTAAATGATGCATCTAAAATTATAAATCAGGTAATTTAAAGTAATTAGATAATATCAAAGAAATTAAATTTAACTTGAAGAAATTAAGGCTCTTATGAATAAATCATATAATGACTAAATAGTGCCTATACAAGCCAATGAACATCCGTGTCGGCTCGCATAGGCATTATTTAGTCATTATATGATCTAAAAAAGGTAAATATAATTTCTAATATGTCTTTTTGAATTTTGTATTTATATAATTAAGATATTTTTAATTATTGCGCGATTGCTTATAGAAATCATATCAATAAGTGTACATAATCAGGAAAATATATTAATAAAAAAATGTTTGTAAAAAGATGTGTTCTTAAGCTGTGTTTTCCTCTGAGTTTTAAGTAATAAAGATGATTTGCATATGTATCATTAGGTAAATTCTCTCATATATACTGTCATGAAACTAGAGATGCTCAGATTCTTTTGCGGAAAACCTACATTTAATAGTAAGAAGCATGCTCGACAAATCTTAAAGTTTCTACATGTACAACATTGAACATGCAGTTAAAACTGACAACCAATTAGACATCAAGCAGTCAAATAACCAAAACCAGAAAAATACATGAAGACCAAATGTCACCTATGTTACTGCGAGAAACTGTCGATAGCCTGTATTTTAATTTAAGTCCATGGGTTAAGCTGCTGTTAAAATAACATACGATTAAATGCATTATTTCATATTAGAGATGTTGTCGAGAAGAGAGTGGTGAATTTATTAAATTTCCCCCGTATTTACAATGCAAGACAGAATTGTTTCGTGAGGTTGCATTATCGCGTAAACAATCGTCCCGCCATGACGATTAAATACACGAGCACATTTTATGCAAGAATAAGATTCGTTTTCTATGGCCATTTGTAGCCCCGTTTACCCTCGGTCAAGGGTAACAAGTCGATAGTTCAGAAGCAGCATTCGATGAATAAAAATGGTTAACATGTAAATTACCTTGTGGTTGATAACCCCGACCGCCATGGCTGCTGTGTACGCTAGGAGGTCCTTGGCCATACATACCATCATAGCCTTGCTCAGGGCCAAGCATGTCCTGAAGATTAGGTAGCTGAGGTCAACACAAAGCATATCTTCTAAGGAAAGGCGTGTCGTGATCACATGTCGAAATACGACAAAATTCGCGCTATAGATTGATTTTTTTTTAAATAAAAAACAATAATAGAAACGGCCAAGGGGGACTTGCACGAATAATTACATGAATGACGAAATAATAAAAATAAAAGGACAATTTTTGAACATCTGCAAGAGGGACAAAACGCATTCCCATGCATACTGTAATCTTGCAAACTGTCAATTAAACTAAGGATCGTATCTAACTGCATCTCGTGATCCATTGCTTCATTAGGCACGACCGTATACGTCTTCTTTAATCTCTCACGTTTGAACAAATATTGATATAAAAAATACCAATGAAAATATAACTAAATCTCGCGACAAATTGTATGTTATGAAGCTTAAGCATGTAAAACTTAAAATTTAGTTTACAAGTTAATGTAAATACGTATTAAAAAGGTGCACTTTTTGCGTGGAAAAAGCAAACATTTCAAAACTGCTCGCTTAAAACTTGTTTAAGCGATGCAAAATTGTAATGTAATTGAAATTAGTTTTCACATTATGTACCCGCCGTCTCCACAAATATAATGATAAAGGTCTAAAGCGTAACAACTGATGGATGAAAACTAAACGTTATAGCACGCAAATAAGTACTGCAGATGACTTAGTGGTGCAAATTGGAATAATAGATAAATGATGCTGCACGTGGCTTGTAAACGCTGTTTGGAATTGAACTTACACGGGGAAAATCTTGTATAAATACCTGGTCTTTTTTTTTATAATTAGAAAGAGGGGAGAGTGTCTATAACCAAATAAGAGCTATTATCATAACGTGGCACAATTTACCGAACACAATGTAACCACCTAGAGGTGTTTAAGAGATGTACTTCTATGCTACAATATACTTTCATTTATGTCACATTACAAACCTGACTCCTGGCAAGTACTTGGAGAAATTCAATTAAAAAGGCAAAGCCAGTACATAAAAATAAAAAAGAAAAAAAAGAAAAACTAAAACTTGCTATGTTACATAGTGTTTGCAAGTAAATCTATTATCGCCACGGCACGAGATAAAATAACGTGCACTAAATGTGTGTCCGCTCTCTACGATACCTGTAGATCCGGTGCCATGCTGAAGTCGGCGTTGTTCCACAGATTTGTGTCCTCGCGGAATAAGGAATTCGTCAACTCCATGGAAAGTCGTTTTTTGTACTCTTGGGGTTTGTCCTCGCTCATGCGGAATAGCACTGCCGCTGCATAAGTAGCGACACCCTCATTCCTGGAGTGTAGTAACTCTGTCAGCGGGGCGGTAGCACCCTCCTGTTCTATTATCTCGGCGCCTTCTTTGTCAGCTGCCAGTTCGCAAAGTACGCCGGCTGCTACACGTTGAATATTTTCAATCTCGTTGAACAGTAACTGCGAATGTGAGGAAAACAGAACTGTGTTATCAAATATTGAATAAAAATATTTCTATTAAATAAAAAAAGTTACATAGGCCACGATAAATGCAAAATAATTTGTAATTTTAAGTAAAAATATAGTTTAAGAAATTCAGAAAATAAGTTGCATAGGCTACGATAAATGCAAAATAATTTTTGATTATCATTTTAAGTAAAGATACAGGTTAAAAATGTTCAGACAAAATGTTACAAGTATTGTATTTAAGAATGTTTAGTACCTACAATAGTAGCAAAAAGTTAAAGAACTGATTTTGACGAATATGCTCTTCTCATATAGTTTGAGTAATAAGGATTTGCAGAATGTTATCATTTATTCAGAACTAGAGCGCAGAAATGTTTTACTGAGTCGACAAGGCACACAGGGGATA